CAATTTAGGTCCTATGCATCCTGCATCACATACCATAAAAAATACATCGGTCGTTGTCCAATCCGATATTTCTACTTCCTCCAACTGTTGTTGTCGCTTCCGGATGAGATACAAGCCCAAATCAATGTGCTGCACATGTTTTCCTTGTCAATCTCATTATCTATGCACATTCAAACAAATGCATAATCAATTAAACTTACATCTCCTTTCAGCCAGCCGTCAGCTTTGACGAGGGAAGCGAAGAATTCAATCTCAGCTTCCACGTTGCCAAATTGCATCACCAAACTATGAATATAAAAAAGTTTTAGAACACAACAATTACAAAATATATACACTCATGCCTTCTATCTCAAAAAACAAAGGACTTACTTTGGGTTATGGCGCCATTCCGAACAAAGTTTCAGCAATTTCACCATATCATCATGCGGAATCGCCTTCATTGGGTCTAACGTCCGAAGTCCGGTTGTCTTTGGCAAATTTTTTTAACCACTTCACTAGCTTCAACGATCTTCCACATAGGAATAATCCTCTTCCTCTTCCGTAATTGGACCCCTCGTTCCACACCTTGACCTTCATCATTCAACCAAACGTTCAACTGAGATAACACAGCTCTAGGTTGATCCAAATCAATGTCCCCGACAGTAACCTCAACCTTTGTCCCCTCCGTGCTCTCGCCAATGTCATCGCCAACCAACATAACTTCATCATCCTCTTCCTCACATTGGTTTCTTTGCACTTCCTTTTCCTCACTTCTCTGTCTTTTCACTTCCTTGCCCTTCCTTTTTTTTTTCGGATCCTCTCCCTCACTGCTTTTTCTTTGCAGTTCTTCCTCTCCCTCAATGCTCTTTCTTTGCGCTTCCTCTCCTTTGCTGCTTTTTATTTTCACTTGCTCTCCCTCACTTCTTTTCCTTTGAGCTTCCTCTACCTCCCTTGGTTTTCTTTGCACTTGGCCTCCTTCAATCCCCTTCTCTTCCTTTTCCTCTCCCTCATTTCTCTTACTTGGCACTTCACCCCCTTCAATCCCCTCCTCTTCCTTTTCCTCTCCCTCATTTGTCTTACTTGCCCCTTCACCCCTTTCAATCCCCTCCTCTTCCTTGTCCTCTCCCTCATTTCTGTTATTTGGCCCTTCACCCCCTTCAATGTCCTCCTCTTCATTTGCCTCTCCTTCATTTCTATTACTTGGCCCTTCATCCCATTGCATGCCATCCACTTCCTCATATCCCTTAAATAGATGTGACACGACACAACGATTCGTCCTCTCTTTCAGTAAAGCTATGTCCCTTCTCACTTCCTGCTCAAAATGAGGACCTAAACAGTGGCCCAAATTTTTTTCCATCCGTATGACCTTTAACTCAAGGACGTCCTTTTCCCGCTTTACTTGAAACAACTCGGACCTCAACAAGCTTACCGCCTTGTTCAACTCATCAAGGTCAGCACATGAAGAAGGAATTGACTCTGCCGAGACAACAGCAGGGCGACCCTGTGGCCAACTCCAATATGGTTGTCTCATTTCCTCTTCACTTGGACATAGCGCCCGCAACTGAACTGACTGTTTCAGAAAACAGACAAGAGTCATATGCAATCATTCTACTTCATAATTTCATTGAATCTTATAAATAGTTCCAAGGGCTGCAAACCAAACCTCTTTGCTCTGGAAAAAATAATTGTTCAACTTTCTCATCTCGGGAACAGACGTAGTAGTTCTCCATCGCAAAATACGCGGGAGAGCTGTCGGATCAACAACCTTGCAGTAATTCAGGTCCACCATTCTAGGAATTAATTCATATACCCAAATCTACACAATTCACAGGACACAAGTTATTATTTAAGTTTTAAAGTCAACAGAACATAACGACATGAACATTATTACCATGTACCTGGAAAGCATACGTGAAACCTTTAAAACTCCAGCCACCCCTTTGCACTTCACCATGGTTATCCTTCTTGCCCTTCTCATTTCTCCGGCTTGTTCCGGTTACCTTACATTTCCCCTTCCCTCTTCCCTCTTCATTTTCAAAGCTTTTCACATACTTTGTTGGTGCAGAAAACAGACTGTCTTGGGTTTTGTCAAACGACACCGAACCCCATGGAAACCTGTTGAACGCATCCAAGTCCTCTACAAGGGTCAGGTAATTTAGATTGATGTTCAAATGTTTGTCCCTTCCCAAAACCACTAACTCAGCAAAGTAAACAAGAGCTAGCTTGTAGACGTCATCTTCCTCTGTGCACCTCACAAATGCTTCTTCTAAAGCATTACATGTAATTCCTTCGTCTATAAAATATCTTTTCTGAAGTCTAATTTCATCACTTTCTCCACTGGAAACTTCAGGCACTTCCCCAAAACGAAGCCCTGAGATCAAACAGAAATCCTGACGAGTGAACTGAGCAACGTCGCACCCTATTAAGAAACTCAGTCCATCCAAGTCTTTCACACCCTGCCCCGCTACTCTACGCAACACAACCCCATGCACAATCTGCCCGCTAAACTGAATCTTATCTATATTCAGAAGATGGCCAAAGCATGATGTCTTGAATTGTTCTAATTGTTCGGCACTCAACTTCGCTCGAATTACAGCTAGGGATGAATTTGCATGTGAGCAGTTGTTCACCCGTGAGGAATATGCCTCTGACTCTGGCCATACCAGCTCAACGTTGGATCCCATTTCCTGAAATACAAGATGAAATAACGTGAACACATATACTACCACGTATTTGCACAATCACATTGGTATTTACACAACTAGTCAACCAGCACATTACAAATTTTACAAAGTACATGCGCATAGGGATTACTGATCACAGGCTTTAACATCATCAAAGCAATATGACATATTTTGTGCAAATACCTGTTAATGCAATGATTCTGTGAATTACAAGCACTAGCATGTGTTTTATTTATGGATCCAAACTCCAATCAATGGTTGATGCATGAGTGAGTGTGAGTGCAATCTAGGCAAGTTCTGCACTTCACACACATGACAATTATTGTCATTTCATACACAACACAAAATAAATAAATAAATAAATGAGAAAGATGGTGGAAGGAAGCAAAGCAAAGCATCTGCTCTGCTATCTGCTCGCTAAGCCATTGCCACATCCTTCTTTCTTTCTAGCTTTTTCTTCAGTCAGCCATAATCGTCATAGATCAACCTTTTTTCAAATGCTTTGCACTTTTATTCATGAGTTTATTATTATCTGTTCTCATTTTTAACAGGCAAATTTAGTAACAACGGAAATAATATTTATTTCAAAAATTATATATATTCTAGCTCCAGAGAGATAATCTGCACTCTGCACTGCTTCAAATGTGGAAGGTTTTTGAGGGCCTCCTCCAATTCAACACCATTACCTTATTCATATCATTATTGACATGTTATTGACCATTTTAAAAAAAAAAAAAAAAAAAAAAAAAAAAAAAAAAAAAAAAAAAAAAAAAAAAAAAAAAAAAAAAAAAAAAAAAAAAAAAAAAAAAAAAAAAAAAAAAAAAAAAAAAAAAAAAAAAAAAAAAAAAAAAAAAAAAAAAAAAAAAAAAAAAAAAAAAAAAAAAAAAAAAAAAAAAAAAAAAAAAAAAAAAAAAAAAAAAAAAAAAAAAAAAAAAAAAAAAAAAAAAAAAAAAAAAAAAAAAAAAAAAAAAAAAAAAAAAAAAAAAAAAAAAAAAAAAAAAAAAAAAAAAAAAAAAAAAAAAAAAAAAAAAAAAAAAAAAAAAAAAAAAAAAAAAAAAAAAAAAAAAAAAAAAAAAAAAAAAAAAAAAAAAAAAAAAAAAAAAAAAAAAAAATAGGCAGATCACTTCCTTATTTGGACTTGTCTGTTATCCCCACTGGTAGAACTTCATTAATTTCTAGGAATGCATTTGAACCAGTAACATTATCAATTCACATTGTGTTTAACTTACAATACTTTATCTAAAAGAATTCTTACTAGCAGATTCATGTGGCACTGTGGAATGCAATGTTGACTTAAACTTGAGCTCTCAGAAGCAACCTGACCTGGCTGCGCCAAAAACTATGTGGGACTCCTTGGATTCTACTAGCAGAAATAATGCCACTGTATTGCATGAACTGTCTCCTCCAGAAATGTCCGCTGTGTGAATTGAAAGAGTAGAAACTCATGCATCATGGTTACACAAAGATGCATTTGAATGTTTAGAAGTTGGTGACAGCTGCAAAGATGATGATAAAGTTAGTCCTCTATTTTCCAAGGAAATTACACCAAAAAACAGTGTATGCAGGTGAGATTTGCAAGTCTTGTTGTTTGAAGTTTTGGGGATGATTTGGCTGTCAACTAATCTTATTTTACTTTTCATGTTTGGAATATTGATTCCAGCTATTTTCAGAAGAAAAAACCAGTGACATTTTTCGCTCAGTGACAACACAGCCTGTGGCGGCGGCTTCTATAGCTTCAGGACAAAGAAGAAATTCTTCAGTTGGGAGGCAAAAATAATCAACCAGAACAATAATCTCCTCTGTTACTAGTCTATCCTTATCAGAAAACCCTTTAACTGCAGGATGTGCAACCAATACCTGCTTCAGCGCATTTCCTTCTAGAACTCTGTCATTGAAACCAGAGAATTTATCCGAGATGCAGCACTCCATCTTCCTCGAGCCATTTATCGTCAGTATTTGAGACACAAGCTTGTGCATGATAGTATTGCAAGCCGAGCAAGAGCTTTCAATGAAAGGAGTAGTTTTCTTGACAAAATATAAGCCATATAGTACCATGTGTGAAGAGTTGGTTTTCTTTGGATAGTGAGGAGACATGGAAGGGACAATTGGGATGCTATGTTAAGGGATCCAAGATTGCACTTCTCATCATGGAGGGTGGAAGGGACTTAGCTGAGCGGTGGGAAGAGGAACAGTCAAAACTTTTGAGTGGCATATGCGTTCCTCAATTCAAGTACTCGATAGCACAAGGCAGTTCTTTGGACTACCACTACTTTTTGGGTCCAAAAACAGGAATCTGGAAATAAAATACAGCATATGAACCCGGACTTTCATTTGGCAATGTTGACGCGTGTAGAGGAGGTAATGCCTGGAGGAGGCCATTATTCCAGCCGGCTTATGTTTGCAATAATGGCAATGAACACCTCCAGAGGCCTATTAGGTGCACAGAGGACATCTCATTTTGGTTTCCGAAGGGAGAAGTATGATGAGGATGAATTTAGTATTTTAAGTAGAAGTAGGAGTATGGCAAAGGGCAATTTACTATCAACTAATGGCCCCACAACTTGCGTTGGAGCAAAGGGAAACTTGCCCCACTGGCTCAGAGAATGCTTTCCTCTGTATGATCTTTCATGGTTTCACTGGTAGAGTGCATGAATGTTGTTTCATCCTTGAATGAGTGAGGCTCTTGGAACTTTTCTAGGCATCTTTGAGTGTTCCTCAATCCTTCCAACTCTGTTGATACCTCTTTCATACTAGACCTCTTTTTCCCATTCAACCTCAAACACCTTGTTGCAAGCTCAGCATTGCTCCAACATGCTCCATCTCTGCATCTCGAACCACTTGAGGATCCAAAATCTGAACAAGTTGGTTTTCCCTTGTCAGTGAAATGAAAGAAGCAACCAGATTTTCCCCGTCATCTTTAGCAAAAGAAAATGGGGTTTTCCCAGTTAATATTTCTACGAGTGACTCCAAAGCTGTAGGTGTCACTTTTATCTGTAAATTTACTTCATCGGAAGTACTTTAAATACATGTATCCAAAAGTTCCTTGTACTTCTGTGGTTAAGTGAGTTTTGTCAAGGGGAACTGATTTTGAAGTCCCAAAGTTTGGATACTTTAGCACTGTAGTTATGGTCTCGAAGAATGTTACAAGACTTGAAGATGGGGGATTGAAGCTATATGATACTGCTCCGGCAACTTCACAGGCGATCCTGAAGCAATGTTCCCATGAAAGTGATGGTGTTTCAATGTGCTTCTGCTGGATACGGCTATGCTGTATAAATATAAATTTTAAACGCATCACCACGCTGCTATACTTTTATAAATAGAAATTTTAACGGTAGAGCCGCGCGGCTATACTCTATAAATAGAAAATTTTCCCGTAAAGCCGGTCGGCTAAACTCCATAATAGAAATTATAACTGTATAGCCGGTCGGCTATACTGTATAAATAGAATTTTTTTTTCCCAGTAAAGCCGAACGGCTATACTCTCTAAATACAATATATTAATAGTACAGCCACTATGCTGCATAAATAGGAATTTTAAATGTATAGCCGCGCGGCTATACGGTATAAATAGAAATATTACAGTGCTCCATAAATAGAAATTATAATGGTATAGCCGCCCGACTATACCTGTTAAATACAATATTTTAATAGTGTAGCAACGCGGCTGTATGCTCTAAATATTTTAAAAGTATATCCGTACTGTTATACTCATTAATATAAATTATTTTCCTTTACATTTTTCTTTGGCCAGCTTCTGTTATTTAATATATGTAATTAAGTAATATCTTAGCCTTTTTTAATTACTTTAATTATGGTTTCTTTGGTGAAAAAATAGAATATTTTAAAGGATAGCCGACGGCTAGACCCCCATAAATAGAAATTATAGACGTATTGCCACTCGGCCGTACTATCTATATACAATATATAGCCGGTCGGCTATACTGTATACATAGAAATTTTAAAAGTATAGCTGCAAGGCTAGACTCTATAAATAGAAATTTAAATAGTAGAGTCGCACAGTTATAAGCTATAAATAGAAAATATAAATGTCACGACCCGATCCGATAATAAAGAATATTCTCGAATCAGGGTGCATGAATTGAAAGAAATAAATAAAAAGACTGAAAAATTGGTTAAAATACGTTACCATTATATTTATAAATAAAATTATAATAATAATCTTACAAGTGTACAAGATATAAATAAAAGTTTATCACTCAAAACTAATCCAACTTCTCTGGTTTCGGCTTTGTCTTACCTACTAATTGATTTGAAAAACAAAATAGGTGAGGGATAAGCGAACCACCACTCAGTGAGTAGATTATGTACTATGTCAGTCAAACAATGTCATTTTACACTCTCTAGAAAAATATAATAAAAAGATACACAATCCAAATCATATCACATCATTACTTCATATCTTGGTTATCCTTCACAAATTGTACTCAGTACGTGACCCCTATTGGCCTCACTGTCCTATGTCCCCGTCTGGTACATTTATCCGTCGGATACCCCGTCACTGAAGTTCTCTTGTTCCATAAATAATACATACTTCACAAAAACTCCAAACAATACATATTGTATGAAATATTGCACAAATTAGACATGCTTGACTTGAAAATGGAGAGAAGTTTGCAAATAGATTTTCACATTTATCACAAAATACGAACTTTTAGAACATATTACATAACCCACTCACCATGATAAGTATGAAATATTGCAAGACAAACACACACGCTCTTCATCTTGTTTCTTTTTCTTCCTTATCTCTCTCTCTCTCTCTCTCTCTAACACTACTTCATGGTAGAAATCTACCTTAAAGGATTGGAATGAATGATTGAAGTAAGGAAGCATGATACTTATAGGAGAGGCTATGGATGCATCTAAATAATATTTATATATACAATATTTTAAACCATCAAAAGATAAGATAGAAGTAAAGGAAATAATATGACTCATCCCCCTTTGGATAATGATATCACAACACCACCACCAAAAGATAAGATAGAAAGATAAGGAAATAATGTGAGTCATCCACCTTTGGCCAATATATCACAACACCACTTGTTACTAGCATGTAAGGTGGCATGGCAATGATGATTTGATTAAAACCAATTCTAAGTCTCTACACGTGGAAAACAAGAATGGTGTCATCTTTCAACTAAAAGGATAATATCATACTAGGCTTAAGATTTAATAATATATAAGTCCTCACAAAAAATATTTAACTAAGAAAATTCATATTAATAAATAATTAATATGTAGTATGAATATATATATATATCTTTACATTTTCTCACATTACAAGTCTACCGTTCGCTATACCCGTTCGGCTATACTCCGTAAATAGAACTTAAGGGGTATATTTATTTGTTTTTTTTGACCTTGGTATAGCCGCCTGGCTGTACTATTTTTTTTTAAAATTGAATTTAAAAAAAAAGGAACCGCCTAATAGCACTTATTCGGAAGATTTTTATTTTTTATTTTTAAATTTTTTAAAAGAATATAGCCATGCGGCTATACAAAGGGTCTTCATTTCACTTTACACCCTAAAATTGAAATTTTCTCACTTAAACTTCTGGAACTAAAAAGTTATGCCACTATATAATATTTTAATATAATTTTATGTGTATAATACTTGAATTTCGTATATATTATTGAAAATTTTGTAAAAAAATACGTGTATTACACATGAAAAATATGTACATACGTGTATTGTACTAAGTCTTTAAGACGTAAATACGTACATATATGTATAATACAAGTGTTAAACAAGAAAATGCAAATTCTTTATAAGGGTAATAACTCTCGAAAAGTTAAAAATCAAAAGGAGACAATAGAGACTTCGATAATGGCCAAATAGTAATGAATAATGCTCTAAACTACTCTTATCAATAAAAGAAATCAGGAAAAAGATTTTGTTTTTTTAAAAAGGATCCCATTGTTGTAAATGCATGAGTTGGTGGATGGCCACCATACCTCTTAGCATTCACCCATTCTAATTTTATGTAACCTACACAAAGCTACTCTGGGATAGAACTGGGAAAATAATATTAAACATGAATAGAGAAAGCTGCAACAAACTCACAAGGCTATCAAATCCAATATGGACAGGCTGTTCACCAGCTTCAAGCCACTCCGCAAGTGAATCTGGGGGTTCATAATTTGAAGCAAGGTCAAGAAAACAAAAAACATCAACATCAACCTTCGGTCCCCAATCTGCCAAACAAGTAAACATAGAGCATATCAGCAAATAATCAGCATACTGTATTCTCACTTGGTCAAGCTGGTCTATTTCTACCACATCAAGTCATATTCCTGAGGCTTCTGCAATATTATCAGCATACAAGCGAGCACGGCTATACTTTCTACTTACATTCGAATATTTTAAACAGTACAGCCGACCGGCTATACGCTTTAAATATATTCGAACAAACACGAAGCTTGCACTCGCAGAGAACGGAACTTTCTCTCGCAGTCACTGCTTCTTCCTCCGAGTTCGGCACCGAAAAAAGACCCAACCCGCCTAGGCGCCCGCCTAGCTACTACCTAGCCTCCTAGCCACCGCCTAGCCGCCTAACAGCCTAGCGACCGCCTAGCCGCCTAGCGCCCTCCTAGCCACCGCCTAGCCGCCTAGCGGCCACCTAGCCACCGCCTAGCAGCCTAGCAGCCTAGCCGCCCGCCTAGGCCGACTTTTCGAACACTGCGATTGACTGGAAGTCTAAAAGCAAATTTGAGATTGGGAAGCCGAAGCAGTGATGCACCTCACTGCCTGTGTTTCAGGTGGAGAATGTGAGTACAATTTTCGTTTGCCGCATTCCTCGTAATACTGATTCACTATTTCAGAATAGTCGAAATCCGTCTTTCTGCATTTTGGTAGGGGAGAGAGAGAGAGAGAGAGAGAGAGAGAGAGTGCATCTTGACCTTTTATTTTCAAGAATTTGGTTGCCAATTCATACATGTACTGTTAAACTGGCATTATCTGCTTTTAGGTTACGCTTGTTAGCTATTTATGACATTCTAGGCACATTGAGCACTGCTACTCTTGAATTATGTTATCTCTGTATACCGTATGTTCCATTCGAGCTCTATTTTCAGATAGAGAATGCTTGTACAGCCGTTGAACAACAAACATGATCTACAGAGAATTAACGAAATTCAGGTCAGTGACTCACTGTTGTCTTTGATCTTTCTCTTGTAGGTCATGAATTCAAATCTGTTACTCTCTTTATTGATATTTGTTTGTGTTGAACTTGAAGGCTAAGTTTTTCTAATGCAGTTGGTCAAATTAAGGTCTGAATTCAGATCCGGGCTAGACGCATTGACAAGGTTTGTTTTTGAAAGAACAAGGCCGAAGCAAGTTGGGGCAACTATGATGACTGGTCCCGCACCATATCCTCTTCATGGCAGGTTTATGTTCTCCTTGAGCTCTCTTATTGGGTGGTATTTTGCAACGGGCTCTAAATTATTAGTTTTTATCCATGATTTTCCTTGTGTATAAAAGTTTAACAGAATCTTAATTTCTAACCGGAAAAAGTTGGAAGTAGTGAATATGTAATAAACGATTGACCAACCAACTGGAATTAGATGTGTGCTATATAAATTTTTGTCTTGGTTAGCTTCTTTGTGCTGTTTCATTGAGGTTACATAAATAATATATGTTGCCCTGTGTCTTATCTGAAGAGAGTAGATGTTGAAGTGGATGTTCTGTTTTCATTTTAAACTACAACAATGGAGAATACAATAATAAAATAACCCTTTTGGATCTCAGGCTTCATACGGAATAGAGGGTGAATAAGAAACTGACTCTGGAACAACTCTGATTACAAATTTCTTAGGCATCATGTGATTGTGTTAATCTTACTCTGCAGAGTGTCGAAGAAGATGGGTGTCTGAACAGCATATGATTATGCTCTTGAGGTGTATTAAGTCCGCTTTTCACCGGGCCAAAAATCCCGAAGAAAAAGATAAGAATCTTGTTCTTGCCTCATATATAATTGAATTCTTTGTGATAACAAATAGTTTGTTGCAGTATATATGGATATGTATATCTTATTAGCTCATCTCTTGTATACTGGTCTTATTCGTTTAAATTGGGTACTCAAGCAGGATTGTAAAAGGAATGCATATATGGAGGCAGAGTTGCAATGTTCAAATGCTATACAAAGCATGGAAAGGAAGCTGAGAGTAGCTTGCCATGCTAGTGATGCTAATACCATCTGGCTGCTATTTTTTTGGGTGCTTACATCAGATTCGAACTTAAGACCCATCCCTTGTACCTACCTATCCCAATGCCAGTTGAGCTAAAGATCTTAGGCATTATGTAAAAAATCAGTTATCAGAAATAGAACCCTATGGAAATCATTGAAAATGTTTAGGGATGAGGAAGAATCCTTATTTTGCAAATGTTTGCTTTTCTTTTCAATATATGTATCTATCAATGATGTGGTACTTGACTATTACACATTCTTTGCAGACTGCCAAATCGAAAGTAGATAGTTATGATGCTGAAATATCATCGATGAAGCTTGAAATCAAGGACTTTAAGTAAAAATTAGAAAGGTGTAAAATACAAGAAAGGTTTAAAATCGCTGAAAAACAAGTCACAAGAGCGACTGATATTGCCGATATAAAGCATGAGCTCAAGCGGATGTTGCTCAAAAGGAAACGAGTGAGATGCAGAAGTTACTGGAAATGGAAAGATTGGCCCAAATTGAGAGGGCTGAGAGGCATATTGGAAGTTTGCCAAGAGAAAAAAGAAACTTAGATGATGAGTTAGAGAGAAAGAAAGAAATGAACAAACGAACAAATACATACATACCTTAACTGGTTCACATGAAATGAAAGAGGATCTCTAGGCTCTCTTCTATAACTTCTATGTTCAATCAATCAGGCATGTGGCTTCCACCCTACTTTCTTACTCTTCTTCTACCCCCCATGTGAACTTTTCAGAACGCACCCACTGGGTGGAGTGGGCTTTCTACTTTTAACTTTTGCTTTTGGAAGAAGCAGATTCAGACTTTCAGAACAACCAAAGGGTCGATTTGTCATCTGTCATGAATAGACCTCCACAACCTGTTCGTTGGGGACCAACATGAAGGTGGTCACTCTTCGGAAATTGTGGCTTTGGTTGATTGTTTTAATTGGGAAGGAACAAGTAATTTTTCTAGGGTAAGGACAAACAAAGCTACTCTGGGATAGAACTGGGAAAATAATATTAAACATGAATAGAGAAAGCTGCAACAAACACACAAGGCTATCAAATCCAATATAGACAGGCTGTTCACCAGCTTCAAGCCACTCCGCAAGTGAATGGGGGGGGTTCATAATTTGAAGCAAGGTCAAGAAAACAAAAAACAACAAGAAGTAAAACGTAGAGCATATCAGCAAATAATCAGCATACTATTGCTACCACATCAAATCATATTCCTGAGGCTTCTGCAATATTATCAGCATACTATTGCTAGAACAAGAAGAAGCCCATGTAATAAGATATGCTTAATAGTCCCAAACCACCATGAGGATTCTGAAATGACCATGTATGATACGTTTCCTTTGTATGATACGTCTTCTTTTGTATGATACGTTTCCATTATAGCCGCAAGGTTCGACTCTATAAATAGACATTATAAACGTACAGCCGCACGGCTATACTTTCTACTTACATTCGAATATTTTAACAGTACAGCCGTTCGGCTATACTCTTTAAATATATTCGAACGAACACGAAGCTTGCACTCGCAGAGAACGGAACTTTCTCTCGCAGTCACTGCTTCGCCCGTCTAGCCACTACCTAGCCCCTAGCCACCGCCTAGCCGCCTATCGCCCGCCTAGTCACCGCCTAGCCGCCTAGCCGCCTAGCGCCCGCCTAGCCGCCTAGCCTCCCGCCTAGGCCGACTTTTCGAACACTGCGATTGACTGAAAGTCTGAAACCCGAAATTGAAAAAACTTAGCTGCAAATTTGAGATTGGGAAGCCGAAGCAGTGAAGCACAAGTCAGGTCCATAGAAGAAGAGATCATGAAACTCTTAATTCATCTAATTCCATTCCTCTCCCTGTTTCGCGCCTCATATTCTTCTCTCTTCGCACTAACGACATGGCGCAGAAGAAAAAAATACAAAATTTGCTGACTTGGTGTCTGTCTTCTGTGGAAGGAAATGATGAAGTTGTCCTATCATGGAGTTTCTATGGTCTTGCCAATAACAAGGTTCTGTGAATGGCATGCGTTAGGCTACTTGAATTCAAATTGATTCTGAAGTTTAAACATTTCTGTGAATGGCATGCGTTTAGCTTCTCTTGCTTTGCTTATTCTTTAATATGCAAATGGATTTATGCTTGTATGCCTGTGTTTTAGGTGGAGAATGTTAGTACAATTTTTGTTTGCCGCATTCCTCGTAATAGTGATTCACTATTTCAGAGCAGTCGAAATCCGTCTTTCTGCATTTTCGTAGTAGGAGAGAGAGAGAGAGAGAGAGAGAGAGAGAGCAATCTTGACCTTTTATTTTCAAGAATTTGGTTGCCAATTCATACATGTACTGTTAAACTGGCATTATCTGCTTTTAGGTTACGCTTGTTAGCTATTTATGACATTCTAGGCACATTGAGCACTGCTACTCTTGAATTATGTTATCTCTGTATACCGTATGTTCCATTCGAGCTCTATTTTCAGATAGAGAATGCTTGTACGGCCGTTGAACAACGAACATGATCTACAGAGAATTAACGAAATTCAGGTCAGTGACTCACTGTTGTCTTTGATCTCTCTCTTGTAGGTCATGAATTCAAATCTGTTACTCTCTATATTGATATTTGTTTGTGTTGAACTTGAAGGCTAAGTTTTTCTAATGCAGTTGGTCAAATTAAGGTCTGAATTCAGATCCGGGCTAGACGCATTGACAAGGTTTGTTTTTGAAAGAACAAGGCCGAAGCAAGTTGGGGCAACTATGATGATGGGTCCCGCACCATATCCTCTTCATGGCAGGTTTATGTACTCCTTGAGCTCTCTTATTGGGTGGTATTTTGCAATGGGGCTCTAAATTATTAGTTTTTATCCATGATTTTCCTTGTGTATAAAAGTTTAACAGAATCTTAGTTTCTAACCGGAAAAAAGTGGAAGTAGTGAATATGTAATAAACGATTGACCAACATACTGGAATTAGATGTGTGCTATATAAATTTTTGTCTTGGTTAGCTTCTTTGTGCTGTTTCATTGAGGTTACATAAATAATATATGTTGCCCTGTGTCTTATCTGAAGAGAGTAGATGTTGAAGTGGATGTTCTGTTTTCATTTTAAACTACAACAATGGAGAATACAATAATAAAATAACCCTTTTGGATCTCAGACTTCATACGGAATAGAGGGTGAATAAGAAACTGACTCTGGAACAACTCTGATTACAAATTTCTTAGGCATCATGTGATTGTGTTAATCGTACTCTGCAGAGTGTCGAAGAAGATGGGTGCCTGAACAGCATATGATTATGCTCTTGAGGTGTATAAGTCCGCTTTTCACCGTCCAAAAAATCCTGAAGAAAAAGATAAGAACCTTGTTCTTGCCTCATATATAATTGAATTTTTTGTGATAGCAAATAGTTTGTTGCAGTATATATGGATGTGTATATCTGATTATCCACAAGCTCATAGGCATTATGTAAAAACTCAGTTATCGGAAATAGAACCCTATGGAAATCATTGAAAATGTTTAGGGATGAAGAAGAATCCTTATTTTGCAAATGTTTGCTTTTCTTTTCAATATATGTATCTATCAATGATGTGGTACTTGACTATTACACATTCTTTGCAGACTGCCAAATTGAAAGTAGATAGTTATGATGCTGAAATATCATCGATGAAGCTTGAAATCAAGGACTTAAGTCACAAATTAGAAGCTGCAAATGCACAGGCCCAATCATTTGAGAGAGAAAAAAAAAGACTTGATCAAGTCCAAGAAAGGTGTAAAATCGCTGAAAAACGAGTCACAAGAGCGACTGATATTTGCCGAGATAAAGCACCAGCTCGAGCGGATGTTGCTCAAAAGGAAACTAGTGAGATGCAGAAGTTATTGGAAAATGGAAAGATTGGCCCAAATTGAGAGGGCTGAGAGGCATATTGGAAGTTTGCCAAGGGAAAAAAGAAACTTAGATGATGAGTTAGAGAGACCCCTATTGGCCTCACTGTCCTATGTCCCCGTCTGGTACATTTATCTTCGGATACCCCGTCACTGAAGTTCTCTTGTTCCATGAATAATACATACTTCACAAAAACTCCAAACAATACATATTGTATGAAATATTGCACAAATTAGACATGCTTGACTTGAAAATAGAGAGAAGTTTGTAAATAGATTTTCACATTTATCACAAAATACGAACTTTTAGAACATATTACATAACCTACTCACCATGATAAGTATGAAATATTGCAAGACAAACACACACGCTCTTCATCTTGTTTCTTTTTCTTCTTATCTCTCTCTCTCTCTCTCTCTCTCTCTCTCTCTCTCTCTCTCTTCTCTCTCTCTAACACTACTTCATGGTAGAAATCTACCTTAAAGGATTGGAATGAATGATTGAAATAAGGAAGCATGATACTTATGGGAGAGACTATGGATGCATCCAAATAATATTTATATACAATATTTTAAACCATCAAAAGATAAGATAGAAGTAAGGGAATAATATGACTCATCCCCCTTTGGATAATGATATCACAACACCACCACCAAAAGATAAGATAGAAAGATAAGGAAATAATGTGAGTCATCCACCTTTGGCCAATGATATCACAACACCACTTGTTACTAGCATGTAAGGTGGCATGGCAATGATGATTTGATTAAAACCAATTCTAAGTCTCTACACTTGGAAAACAAGAATGGTGTCATCTTTCAACTAAAAGGATAATCTCATACTAGGCTTAAGATTTAATAATATATAAGTCCTCACAAAAAATATTTAACTAAGAAAATTCATATTAATAAATAATTAATATGTAGTATGAATAATATATATATTTATATATATATACATATCTTTACATTTTCTCACATTACAAGTCTAGCCGTTCGGCTATACTCCGTAAATAGAACTTAAGGGGTATATTTATTTGTTTTTTTTTTACCTTGGTATAGCCGCCTGGCTGTACTATTTATTTTTAAAAATTGAATAAAAAAAAGGAACCGCCTAATAGCACTTATTCGGAAGATTTTTATTTTTTATTTTTAAATTTTTTAAAAGAATATAGCCATGCGGCTATACAAAGGGTCTTCATTTCACTTTACACCCTAAAATTGAAATTTTCTCACTTAAACTTCTGGAACTAAAAAGTTAGGCCACCATATAATATTTTAATATAATTTTATGTGTATAATACTTGAATTTCGTATATATTATTGAAAATTTTGTAAAAAAATACGTGTATTAAACATGAAAAATATGTACATACGTGTATTGTACTAAGTCTGTAAGACGTAAATACGTACATATATGTATAATACAAGTGTTAAACAGGAAAATGCTAAATTCTTTATAAGGGTAATAACTCTCGAAAAGTTAAAAATCAAAAGGAGACAATAGAGACCTCGATAATGGCCAAATAGTAATGAATAATGCTCTAAACTACTCTTATCAATAAAAGAAATCAGGAAAAGATTTTGTTTTTTGAAAAAGGATCTCATTGTTGTAAATGCATGAGTTGGTGGATGGCCACCACACCTCTTAGCATTCACCATTTCTAATTTTATGTAACCTACACACTAAATACCATAGTTATGGGGTTGACATTTATGAATTGTTAATGTCTTCTTATCACTGTAAGCCTTGAAATAAGAGGTCTTACCAGAATTAGATATAGAAGTTGATTGACACAAATTCTATTGTCTTTCTCTACTTTCCAATTCTCTCTATAATTTTCCTTAGTTATATAACACGTTATCAACACGAGCCTCTAACCACTTGAGGTTTTGTTTATCAATTGTAGAATAGAATAGTTTCCTCTTATATATCGCAAGTATAGAACTCGTGTTACATAGGCTTTGACAAATAGAAAGAAGTGCATCAACAAAAGGAAGCTGAACAGCAAGATTCCAAACAGATAAGAATTTTTTTTATTTTTTATTTTTATTTACATATCTAGTGCATATGAAATTCGATATTTTACAAAGAAATTAGCATTTTTATTATAGATATCTATCTTGTCTATCTACTTACAAGATTTCAACTGTATTTTGTTATTTGTCATAAATTCAAGATTTTTGTTAAGAGTAAAGATCAATATCAATGTGATATTTCATGTCACCAATCTTTATGAGGTAAAGTGAGATACTCAAGAATTTCAATTCTTATATAACTAATAGAGGACAAGAAGTTCTTCAGTTCTTATTCAATCATGTAAAGGCCAGAAGATCCTTAGATTTCAATCCTTATAATATAAATATTTGTGGACTTGAAGTTCCCCAATTCTTAAAAGACAAATGAAGACCTGAAGCTCTTTGATTCATTTTTCATTGGAACAGAAGTTTCAACAATTTATTTTATTGCAATATTTTAATTTTTGTTGTATTTTATTTTCACTTAGTTCTTTTCTTTAGTTTCATTTTTATTTTATGCAAGGACCCGAAGTCCCTAAATTATATAATTAAACAAAGACCCGAAGTCTCTTAGTTCTCAATCCATATAATATCTATACAAAGACTTGGCGTTCTGTAATTCTGATTAGAAAACAAATCCAGACTTGGTGTTCTTCGATTTTTCTCTAACTTGGAACCAGAAGTTCCAACAATATATTTTTCTCTAGTATTTTAATTATTATTTTATTTGTATTGTTATGTTCAGTTATTTGTTTTCATTTCAATAATTTAAATTTAAGGACCTGAAGTTCCTCATATGATCCGAAGTTCAAATATCTTAGAACCCAAAGTTCTTATTATGTCTCATCCAAACTATAAGTTTTGCCCACATGTGCATTAAAATAGGTAAATTCTAGAACCTGAAGATCTAATTGTGTCAACCTCCAAATCGATATTTCAACAAGTGCATATGTATTATGATTTTGGGCGGAAAACTATACATCATGTTAAGAACCTGAAGTTCCAACATTATTTGGATTTCATTTTTTCTATTTTTTTTTAATCTTTTTATTTTATTACCTTGAACAATATAATATTACTACAAATTTGGACCTGTAGTTCAAAATTAGGTATTCTTTTTCATTTGATATAGGCACTCGAACCCGAAGTTTGTTAATATATATATATATATATCCAAAGTTCATAATTGTCTACCAGACGTAATCTACAAACCAGAAGTTAAATTTTAAGTCCATAGAGAATGTTTTAAGTATATTATATGAACCAGAAGTTCAATGAATTTTTATTATTATTATTTTTTGTTCTGGCTTTCATGGATAGAAAGAAAATAGAGATCTAAGTAGGATCGTAATGTGGAGGAGCATAAAGGAATAAATTTATCCTTTCGTGTTCTAGGAGCTCCAGTAGTAGCAATATGAAAAATATGATGTGTTTCAATTATTTGGTAAATAAAAAGTCTTTATTATGCATCCACGAATTTCATATGATTGGATCTATTATTTCCTAAAGAAATATAAGAATTTAATTACTATTTACTTAGTGAATAATTAGAATTTAAATATTTGATTAAATAAAAATAATAATTACCGTTTATTAAGTTAATTAAAGTATTTAATTATTCACTAAAGAAATAATAATTAAATAATTCTAATATATTATTAATTACTAAAAAGAAAATTTATTGGACCTAAAAGATACTAAATTTATATTTATTTTTAAATAAAATCTCTCCCGACGAAATTTCGTCGCGAGAACTCTAATCCGGCGAATTTTCCCAGGTAGACCTATGCCGACGAACTTTCATCGGGAGAGGGTTTCTTGCTTTTATTTTATTTTTTATTTTATTTTTTTATTTTTTATTTTAAACATGTAAATTTAGTTTCTTTAATTTTATTTTTTTGGCCAGCTTCTTTAGTTTAATATATGTAATTAAGTAATATCATAGCCTTTTTTAATTACTTTAATTTGTAATTATGTTTAATTATTATGTCTTTATTGAATATTTATATATTTTGCTCATTTCATAAATTACTTAATGAATAGTAATTCATTATGGACTTTCTTTTCACAAAATTAGTTTGGGTAAATTCAAGTCTCTAACCAAAAGCCTTAGCTTCTAAAATTGTTCCCAAACCTTTCTTAAGGCTCGAACAATAAGCCTACTAAGGAGTAGATACTTTCTCTTATTTTCCAATGTGGGACTCAAGTTCATGTATTTCAATCAAACTCCAACAAGCAATTGATATTATCGAATCACGTTGTGACTTGGATTTAAGTTTCGAGGCTAAAATCCATTTTTGGAATACTAAAAATTTTGGGTACTAAAACTAAATTTCTAGGATTTTTATTAAAATATTTAATGCTAATTACTCACTAAAGAAATAATAATTAAAACGTAATCACTAATGAAAGTATTTAAACAAGGCTAAGATATTATTTCATGAATAAAAAATAAAATTTTGAAAAGGATATTTTAAGTAGAATATTTTAAAAGTATATCAGCCCGGCTATACCCTTTGAATAGCATAATCTTGATTTCTCTTTTTTAATTACTATTTACTTAGTGAATAATTAGTATTTAAATATTTTATTAAATAAAAATATAATTACCATTTATTAAGTTATAAAGTATTTAATTATTCACTAAAGAAATAAAAATTAAATAAGTCTGATATTATTTAATTACTAAAAAGAAAATCTTCTGGAACTGAAAAGTTCGGCCACCATATAATATTTTAATATAATTTTATGTGTATAATACTTGAATTTTGTATGTATTATTGAAAATTTTGTTAAAAAATAAGTGTATTAAACATGAAAAATATGTACATACGTGTATTGTACTAAGCTTTAAGGCGTGTATGCAAAACGAAAGTATTATTAAAAAAATATGTACGTATATGTATAATACAAGTGCTAAACGGGAAAATGCTAGTTAAAAATCAAAAGGGGACAATAAAGACTCGGATAATGGCCAAATAGTAATGGATAATGCTTTAAACTACTCTTATCGGATTTTAAAAAAAAAAAAAAAAAAAAAAAAAAAAAAAAAAAAAAAAAAAAAAAAAAAAAAAAAAAAAAAAAAAAAAAAAAAAAAAAAAAAAAAAAAAAAAAAAAAAAAAAAAAAAAAAAAAAAAAAAAAAAAAAAAAAAAAAAAAAAAAAAAAAAAAAAAAAAAAAAAAAAAAAAAAAAAAAAAAAAAAAAAAAAAAAAAAAAAAAAAAAAAAAAAAAAAAAAAAAAAAAAAAAAAAAAAAAAAAAAAAAAAAAAAAAAAAAAAAAAAAAAAAAAAAAAAAAAAAAAAAAAAAAAAAAAAAAAAAAAAAAAAAAAAAAAAAAAAAAAAAAAAAAAAAAAAAAAAAAAAAAAAAAAAAAAAAAAAAAAAAAAAAAAAAAAAAAAAAAAAAAAAAAAGTATTAATCAACTTTCTTTATCTGAGGGATATTGATACATCTCAATTTGATCTTAGTTTATTTCTTTTAAAAACATTCACAAAAACGCGTGTGCGAAAATAAGACAGGGTATGTGAGGTGTGTTGCCTTTTGCGTTGCATAGAAGAATGAAGATGTATGCACAGGTTTCATCTTGGGCTACTCAAAAAATGACATTATAAAAAGTTATGTCTCATTAGTTCCCTCCCAACCAATAAGCCTTTGTGTGTAATAAAGGGACCAGTACTTAATTACAAATGAGGATTATTTGACTAAAAGACAGCCCAGGACAAAAAAATAAAACAAAAATTATTATATTATCATTTTATTTAATGGGGACTAAACAGATGCTAATATCCTATCACTATGTCTTAAATTTTTTTTTTTCTTTGAAAAAAAGGAAGGTACACTAATAAATTTATAATAATCAATTCACTACTAGCATGTAATGTAATATGAACATCCTAACAATTTTTTTACCAAAACAAAAAAGTCCTAACATAAAAGCAGACATGAGCTTTAGTCAAGTGAGGCTAGAGATCCTCACTCTACACCCGAGTTTGGAATCACCCTTACCGTAGTTTAGATTATATTAAAGTAGAATATCGTCTTTTAAAAAAAAGGTAAAAATCACTTTTTTGTCGTTCTGGTTTTCCATTTTAACCACTAAGGTCCCGTTGTTTCAATTTGGTGACTTTGGACCCTTGTGTTTTCAAGTCCAAAAATTCGAGGACAATTGATTGTTCTACCTCATTGCTCAGTAAACAAAAAGAGTAATGTTATTTAGACACACAACATTAACCACCTTAGCTGACCACTTTATGTGGCAGTTGATGTGTCATGCCATGTCAATTAATGAATGTTGTCACGTGTATTCTATTTTTTTATTTATTATATTTTCAATAATCCTTTAAAAACAAACAAAACAACAAAAACCACAAAAAAAAAATTAAAACACCCGAGCCTCCCTGGTAAAGGCATCACGTCTTTTTCTCCAACTCGTTCTCGCGTCTCCAACATTCCTTCCCCATTGTTGCTGCACTCTGATAGGAGTATCGCTAGAACGTGGCTGAGAGTTGGAATCCCCTCAATTACCCTATTCTCTACTCTGCTTCTCTCATTGCCTCCCTTCCTCCACCAAATTTATCCATCCCCATCCTCTACTGTTGTTGGTGAGAGTTAGAGTTTTCTCAATAAGAATGAGATTTGCATTGTTGGGCAATTGGGTGGGTTGAAGAATGGTGAGGTTGAATTCACTTGTCTACTCTTCTCCAAAAGCCTTTCTGAGAAAGAGGTTGAAGATTGAGGTACATATCCAATTTTTAGTGTAATTTTGTTGTAAAATTTGTTGTATATCTATCAGAATCTCTAGTGGGAAGCAAAGATTTGTCATGGCCTAAAATTAGTGTAGAATCAAATGAAAGAGTTTTGGTGACTGGTGGGTCTTTTGGTTTTCTTCAATTATTAGTTTTTATTATTTTTATTTTTCTTAAAGTCTAACATTGTTATTTTAGGATTAAGTCGGATGCTAGGTGTCAAAAAAATTAAGATAGTGAGAGGGAGGGACAAACAAAAACATGGACAGAGAATCTCAACTCTTTTTGGATCTAAATATATACCCCCAAATTTCAACCAAATCTTTTGTTATTTTTCTTCGAAATATATTGAATTTGTCTTAATCCAAGACCCATTTGTTCTGATACTAGATGTAGAAAACAACAATTGAAACACAACCCCACAATAGATTAACTAACCAGTCAAGCAAACACACAAAAATCTCACACACCAATTAAAGAGAAAACAAGGAAGAGATGAACTAGAGCAAAAAAGAAGTCATAACTTTCATTAATTGTTCAGACAAAATACAAAGAGGCAGCAGCACCTATAGAAGAAGGGTTGTGCAACAAAATAAGAGAAAGAAGCCTAGAAGCTTCAGAATTTCAATCAACAATTTATCTCTTGAGAACTCAAAAGTAGCTGGTAAGCCTATAAGTTTTACAACAATAATTAAAAATATTAAAGTGGACTTGGGCGTAAAGTGTGCTTCATACATTTCATTTGATCTCTCCAATTCTATTTTCTTTTCATTTTTTGTCAGACCTATTTTCTTTTAAAACTAAGCATTCATAGAGCAGGGCAAAATAAGACATGGTAATGAGCTCCCAAAAAAAAAAACATGATTAATAGGGAAACTAAACAGATGTCTCATAACCTATCCACTTCCCCCTCCCCCCCCCCCCCCCCCCCCTCCCTGAAAAAAGAGGTGCAAATATATATATATATATATATATATATATTTTTTATCAATTCACCACTAGCATGAAATGTACCCCCAAAAAAAAAAGGAAGGTCCCGTGATGAGTCACATGCCCGGGTTCGTTGCGCACCAAAAGGCAGCCGCTCACCACTCGCGCCCTCCTCTGCCTCGTTTTCTCCCGCCATGCTCTGTGTCTTCCTCCCCTCCTCCTAAATTGTAAATTCCAAGCGTACGGTTACCTTACCCCATTACTCAATGACATTTTTATGTGTCCCAAATTTCCACGAAATCCCTTTGTTATTTTCTTCGAAATATACTGAATTTCTCTCAATCCAAGACCCATTTGTTCTGCGCAGCATGTCCATCTGCAGGTAGGTGTATCAGTAGATTTTACATTTTCTCAATCTAATTATGCATTTCCTCTGGGTGTTTTCTTCTTTCTTCTCCACAAAATGGTTTCTTTGTTCTGATATAGGGTCTCTGGAATAATGGCTTTTTGTTTCTCTCTAAACATTAAAAATCTTTTTTTCTGGATCGGGGTTGATTTGATGTCTAATTCCGAATTTTTCGTAGTTCAAGTATTATTTTCTACGAGAAGGGTTAAAAGCTATCATTTCAATTTATTAATTGTAATATGTTTTGGGTTCAGTTGATTAAGGGTTCTTGTTTACTGAGCAATGAGGTAGAACAATCATTTGTGGGAAAGAAAACTAACCACTGGGGTTTCATTTTAAATTTCAATTCTGTACTTGAAAGTTTGTTAAATAGAGCATATATATATCTATATTTACAGTGCAAAAATTCAGGCCCAATAACGATAAATATGGCTGCCTGCTGTTCTTTGGAGGATCATCTGACAAGATTCAAGACTGTCTGAATTTGTTATTTCTTCTTTTTATAGGATACAAGGCCCTATTCAGTTCATAGAGACTATTATCGGATGATGGGTTCACAGGATCCTGTTCTGGCGGCTGACAAGGCTAATGTAACGGAGGCCTCAGTGCGCGGGTAAGTTGTTCAGATCTTAATTTTGACACGAGCTCATAAGCGTTGTTGTGACTGCTAGAAACTTTCTATTATCGTGATTGGATGTTGTAATGCTTGGCATATTTTAACTAAAGGCTGGGTGTTCATGTGTACTTTGGAACAGTAAAGCTTGTCCTACTTTAGAAACTTGATGATGCAAAATAGGGTAAGATTTGGAAAAGGAGTTGCAAATTGAATATTTAGAAATGGGGTTTCTGAAGGAATGATGAAAAAGATACAGGGTGCATACATTATGTTGTGGAACCAGTATAGGGGGGTGTATCCAATTCTAACTTTTAATGACTTTTAATGAGTTTAAAAGTCTGAAGGTATTCAATTGTGACTTTTAAATAGTCTTTAAATGTTTAGTTGTATTCAATTGTGAGTTTTAAAGAGTATTTAAAAGTTTTGAGGTATCCAAAATCTTAATGACTTTTAAAAACTTTGTTAAAATAAATAAACTTTTCAATACTTTTGAAGCTAATTCTTACTACCAAAAGTCTTGCTAATTTACACCAGATTTTATGAAAATATTGGGAAGCTAGGAAGATATAACCAAAAACGTCTCCAATTCTTTCTTCCCTCGTTATATCAAGCAACAAGCATATAGGTCTTTTTTCTTCATGGTTAGGGCTCCACTTTTGTAACCCATCTTGTCATCCACTTCCTTCAGTTCAGGTTAGTAAAATTTTTTGAATGTTTTTCTTCCCTTCTCATCCACACGTGTTCTTTCCCTCTGTTGATGAATATTTCTTCTATTCTTTTCATCATGCTTGCATCCTGAAGCTTATCAATATTTCATCACAAAGCTATGTTTGCATATAAATATTTTATTATATTGATTGTCTCATATGCTATGTTTGCATACAATATTTTATTATATAATTTTTTTGCCCTTAAACCCATTAATTTATTATTTAGGTACTGTTTCTTTACCCATAATTCATTATGTGGATAATTTTTTTCATATAATATTCTCAATTTGATTACATCCCATGTATTGGGCTAGGAGAATTGCGGGAATATAGACTCTTGTAATCTGACCATTTCTGTTGGTTTGTGAGTGTTTATGAAATATTATTCGTGATTGAGTAATATTTATTTCTTTTGATAAGAATATGTTACTTATCTATGTGATTAGATTTGATAAATAAAAATTTAAAGGTGCATTGGATGCATTTTACTAATAAGCTATTATGAAAATTAATACACAATTATTATATAGGATTTGTATTTTTTTTTTTTTTTTTTTTTTTTTAATTTTTTGTTCCATGTATGCCGACTAGTTCATTCAACATAAAAGATAAATGCTATTCGTAAAATTTAAAACAATAAAAATAAGTATTTAAAAGTCTATAAAACTCTATGACAAAAGTATATGAAAGTTTGTCACTTAACTTTATCAAGCATATAAAAGTCATTAAGAATTTGTCAACTCTAGGAAAGTCACTCACTTAAAAAAAGTCTTTGAAAGTTAGAATGTGCTGCCCACTAGTTATTTGTTTCGGCCGATCCTGAATTAGAAAATAGATGTAACTACTGATGGTATCTATGACAAAGTTTATGGTATCTATGTGAAGGAACCTGTGATTGATAGACTTGCATTATCAAGGTTAATAGTAGTGTTGACAGGTAGCCTTTCGAAGTGGTTAGAGGATTCAAAATTAGGTGCAAATCTTGACAGAAGTGTTCATTTAATCTCTATTATGAACAAAGAATTTGATTCACTGTTGATAAAGCTGATTTATTTCAGATAAATCTTGTTCTGATGTGGTAATACTGTTAAAAAAATTATAAAAAAAAAGCCACCTGTACTTTATTGATTTTGAACTTCATACTTCTCATGCTTTATAAAAGATTTTAGAGGGTCTTCCAACAGAATTTCCCCTGGCTCATTATCAACTTTGTGAAGTCATTTAGAATAATGATGTACCACATCCAAGTGGCTTAACATGACTGTTTATTTTAGGATGAAAAATCACTCAGATTTCTTGGATAGATGTTTAGAAAGCTGTTTGATGTGCAGGGCTTGACCTAGAAAAATTAGTTAGAGAATCCACAAGGCTGAGAGTGAGAAATATAAGCGTGAGCATTTGAGCGAGCTTTTTCTTGAGCTGGCTGATGCTCTCAGTAAGTGGCCTTTTATTTATGAGAAGTTCACCATGTCTCCCTGAATGCAATCAATTTTTGATATTGTTGGAATTTTAGAAAGTGTGTGATGAGCGTTTGTGACGCGCTGATACCGCTTGTTAGATTGTAGGGTGATTGTGAGTGGTGTTGCTATGATACCATTGTTGGTTTATGTGGTGAAAGGGTTTAGGACAATAGGCAATAGTCGAAATGAGGTGATTTTATTACATTGGAGGAGAATGGTACATAGGTGTAGGCTAATTGGCCTTCTTCATAGCCTATTGGATTATTGGCCTTCTTTCTTGCTTATATAGGGTTATTGGCCTCCTCAACGTGGCCTGGTTTGGGTAGCTCTTGGCTCCCACATAGATTGGGAGTTTATTTGTTCACCCCACATTTCATTGTAGATTGCTGCCTATTTATAGATGATTGTTTGCCGACTTAGTCTTGGTCCACCGACTTGGGCACTTTCTCCCAACCACATGTTTGTAGACCTTGCTCTAGAGATTTCTTCCACCACCATACTTTAGCCATTCACTTGTCACTTTTTCTAGAATATTCTACCATATTCATTTTGTTTTGCCGCCATGCAACTTCTTTATTGTGAGCTCTTGACTTTTCTAGAACTTTGTAGAACAATTGAGCATTAGTTTTTCAACAGATATGATGGTGGGTCATTCTTAATTTGAGATGACCCTTGCACAGAACTAAATCAGCTCAACAATTGAAAGGCCTCTATATGTTTTGCTACTGTCGTTTGTGTAGTAGATTCAAAAAATATACTTAATTCTGTAGCTATTTAGCTAAAACCCTAGTGGTTAGTTTTGGATAATTCCTTATGCATCAGTAGGTTAGAGCTGATTTATAACAACAACAAAAACGTAGGTTAGAGAGGAAACTTGTGCATTGATTTAATAGTGCATCTTTTAAATGAATCATATTTTCATGCAAGAATGAGATCAGAGAGGAGGATAATTCTTCTGACAGTCTCCTGCTGACGATCACCAATGGCTTACTTATTGGATTTAATTTGCTGTGATTACGCTGTTTGAACTGATAACTATTGCCAAAGCCATTGAGTGGTAATTCCTTTTCTTTTTCAAAATGTAATTCTTATGTTTTATTTCACTTATTTATATATGGGTTTGCATTGAATGTGATTTTTCGAAAGGTATATTGGTTGTATAAAATTGATTCATAAAAGTTTAGCGTGAATTGTTCATTTTGCTGTTGTTTATATATGTATATGCACACACACAAGGCCGGTGAGGATTTTTTTGCGTTAATAAATTTATTGATTCATTGTTTTGTTTCAGCAATAAATTATTGGTTGTAGTTAACTTTGTAATTGCAGGAAAGAAAAATGTAGCGCATGTACTTGTTTTACTATTCAAATCTTTAATCCACTGATGCCATGAAATCTTTGACATACAAAATAAAATAACACCATGAAAAGCAGCTCCCACTAAACAGATGTGCTCATAAACCTATCACTATTGCTTTGATCAATAGGCGGGCGCTCACCACTCGCCCTCCTCTGCCTCGTTTTCTCCCGCCATGCTCTCTGTCTTCCTCCCCTCCTCCTAAATGTCAAACGTACAGTTACCTTACCCCTTTACTGAATCACATTTTATGTGTCCCAAATTTCCACGAAATCCTTTGTTATTTTTCTTCGAAATATATTGAATTTCTCTTAATCCAAGACCCATTTGTTCTGCCCAGCATTTCCATCTGCAGGTAGGTGTATCAGTAGATTTTACATTTTCTCAATCTAATTATGCATTTCCTCTGGGTGTTTTCTTTTTCTTCTCCACAAAATGGTTTCTTTGTTCTGATATAGGGTCTCTGGAATAATGGCTTTTTGTTTCTTTCTAAACAGTAAAAATCTTTTTTTCTGGATCAGGGTTCAAGTATTATTTTCTACAAGAAAGGTAAAAAGCTATCATTTCAATTTATTAATTGTAATATTTTTTGGGTTCAGTTGATTAAGGGTTTTTGTTTACTGAGCAATGAGGTAGAACAATCATTTGTGGGAAAGAAAACTAACCACTAGGGTTTCATTGGTTTCTTTCTAAAATTCAATTCTGTACTTGAAAGTTATGTTAAATAGAGCATATATATCTATATTTACAGTGCAAAAATTCAGGCCCAATAACAATAAATATGGCTGCCTACTGTTCTTTGGAGGATCATCTGACATGATTCAAGAATGTCTGAATTTGTTATTGCTTCTTTTTACAGGATATAAGGCCCTATTCAGTTCATAGAGACTATTATCGGATCATGGGTTCACAAAATCCTTTTCTGGTGGCTGACAAAGCTAATGTTACGGAGGCCTCAGTGCGCGGGTAAGTTGTTCAGATCTTAATTTTGACATGAGCTCATAAGCGGCGTTGTGAGTGCTAGAAACTTTCTATTATCTGGATTGGATGTTGTAATGCTTGGCATATTATAACTAAAGGCCGGGTGTTCATGTGTACTTTGGAACAGTAAAGCTTGTCCTACTTTAGAAGCTTGATGATGCAAAATAGGGTAAGATTTGGAAAAGGAGTTGCAAATTGAAAATTTAGAAATGGGGTTTCTGAAGGAATGATGAAAAAGATGCAGGGTACATACGTTATGTTGTGGAACCAGTATAAGTTTTGTCCCTGTTGAAATCTACTGAACTTTGGGGAATGTTGGATGTGCTGCCCACTAGTTATTTGTTTCGGCCGATCCTGAATTAGAAAATGGATGCAACTAGTGATGGATACTTCTTGGAATAGAATTTACTCAGACAAATTTTATGGTATCTATGTGAAGGAAAGAATACCTATGAATCTATGATTGATAGACTTGCATTATCAAGGTTAATAGTAGTGTTGACAGGTAGCCTTTCTAACTGATTAGAGGATTCGAAATAAGGTGCAAGTCTTGACAGAAGTGTTCATTTAAGCTCTATTATGAAGAAAGAATTAGATTCACTGTTGATAAAGCTGATTTATTTCAGATTTATTTTGTTCTGAAGTGGTAATACTGTTTTTAAAAAAAATTAAATAAATAAAAAAGCCTCCTGTACTTTATTGATTTTGAACTTCATTCTGCTCATGCTTTATAAAAGATTTTAGAGGGTCTTGCAACAGAATTTCCTCTGGCTCATTATCAACTTGTGTGAATAATGATGTACCACATCCAAGTGGCTTAACATGACTGTTTATTTTAGGATGAAAAATCACTCAGATTTCTTGGATAGATGTTTAGAAAGCTGTTTGATGTGCAGGGCTTGTCCTAGAAAAATTAGATAGAGAGAATCCACAAGGCTGAGAGTGAGAAATACAAGCGTGAGCATTTTAGTCTTTTTCTTGAGCTGGCTGATGCTCTCAGTAAGTTGCCTTTTATTTATGAGAAGTTCACCATGTCTCTCTTAATGTAATCAATTTTTGATATTGTTGGAATTGTAGAAAGTGTGCGATGAGCGTTTGTGATGCTCCGATACCGCTTGTTAGATTGTAGGGTGATTGTGAGTGGTGTTGCTATGATACCATTGTTGGTTTACGCGGCGAAAGGGTTTAGGACAATAGGCAATAGTTGAAATAAAGTGATTTTATTACATTGGAGGAGAATAGTACATAGGTGTAGGCTAATTGACCTTCTTCATAGCTTATTGGCTTATTGGCCTTCTTTCTTGCTTACATAGGCTTATTGGCCTCCTCAACATGGCTTAGTTTGGGTAGCTCTTTGCTGGCGCATAGATTGGGAGTTTATTTGTTCACTCCACATTTCATTGTAGATTGCATGCCTATTTATAGATGATTTTTTGCCAACTTAGCCTTGGTCCACCGACTTGGGCACTTTCTCCCAACCATGTGTTTGTAGTCTTGCTCTAGAGATTTCTTCCACCGCGATACTTTAGCCATTCACTTGTCACTTTTTCTAGAATATTCTACCATATTCCTTTTGTTTTGCCGCCATGCAACTTCTTTATTGTGAGCTCTTGACTTTTCTAGAACTTTGTAGAACAAATGAGCATTAGTTTTTCAACAGATATGATGGTGGGTCATTCTTAATTTGAGATGACTCTTGCACAGAACTAAATCAGCTGAACAATTGAAAGGCCTCTATATGTTGTGTGAAGCTACTCGACTGTTAAAAGTACTTGCTTGGTCAGATTCAGTACTTACGAAAGGAGAATGCATCCCCTGTTGTCGGAATCTAGCTATGCATAAGGCACTTTACAAATTTGTTTGCCCCAAAATGTATAAGGCATTTGTGTAGAAGATTCAAAAAATATACTTAATTCTGTAGCTATTTAGCTAAAACCCTAGTGGTTAGTTTTGGATCATTACTTATGCATTAGTAGGTTAGAGCTGATTTATAACAACAACAAAAACGTAGGTTGGAGAGGAAACTTGTACATTGATTTAATAGTGCATCTTTTTAATGAATCATATTTTCATGCAAGTTGTTTGAAAATTGAACAGATGACCCATGCATGAGAAGAATGAGATCAGAGAGGAGGATAATTCTGCTGACAGAGTCTCCTGCAGACGATAACCAATGGCTTACTTGTTGGATTTAATTTGCTCTGATTACGCTGTTTGAAGTGATAACCATTGCCAAAGCCATTGAGTGGTAATTCTTTTTCTTTTTCAAAATGTAGTTCCTATGTTTTATTTCACTTATTTTATATATGGGTTTGCATTGAATGTGATTTTTCGAAAGGTATATTGGTTGTATAAAACTGATTCATAAAATTTTAGCGTGAATTTTTCATTTTGCTGTTGTAGTTAACTTTGTAATTGCAGGAATAAATTATTGGTAGTAGTTAACTTTGTAATTGCAGGAAAGAAATATGTAGCGCATGTGCTTGTTTTAATATTCAAATCTTTAATCTACTGATGCCATGAAATCTTTGATATACAAAGTAAAATAACACTATAGTTCCAAATGCATGTAAAGCAGCTCCAAAAACCCACGAAAATGTGTTGTAACACCGCGATCCACATCCTCCATAGAACCAGCAGCCAAACCATGATGATGATAATGATGATACAGATTCCTAAGGTACCTAAGAAGATCCTCCACATCCCCAGTGTGGGTTTTATTTTTTTGATGTGGAGGAGTTTCTTTGTTTTTCTTGATGCGGAGGAGTTTCTTTGTTTTTCTTGATGCGGAGGAGTTTCTATGGTTATAAACACCCAACGTAAAGTTATCCATGTTATTAAGGGTTGAAGTAGAGTTCCAGGATTTGAAATTGTCAAAAGTGGATCTTGCCAACGCTGAGTGGACCCTTCGAGAAGTGATTGGACCATTCCTCATAGCTTCATAATGATCAAAGAGACGCATCCTTTCATCAGCTTCTAACAAAAACGGATGACCCGCCACTTTTTTCACAAATTCATCATAGCTGAAAAGACAAAAAGAACAATATCCTATAAGAAAGAAATGAAGTGAAAAATAAATAAATAAATAAAATAAAAGAGATAGACAACTCACTCCAAGTTCTTTCTCTTAGCACGGTTGACAAAACCAAACAAGTGTTGACATTCCAGCCAACTTCTTTTGCCCCCCCGTTAGTATCGATTCGAACCAGTTGTTCAACATCCCTAAAAGGTCCGTAATATCTGCTTTCTTTTGCCACTCACGGCCGTCTTCAAATTCATACTCATATAAATCTCCCTTAATATTAATTACCTTCAGACATTTGTCAATAAATACGTAATTACTCTCCGAACCCAACCCACCATGATATGACCCCTTAGAATGTATGCGAACTACACCTTTAATCAACTCCCTACAAACAGTACGAAGAATTTACGTAAAATACAATTAAAACAAAACTATGACCAATAATTTTTACAAAATCTTTTACAAAATCTAACCAAATACCTTATGGAATCACGCCAAAATTCCTTAAGACGACAACCATTACCAGTCTTGATAGGTAGTTTAAGCTTATCATAATAACCAACATTTCCCTTCACCAAATTCGTCCAATCTTTAAGATTGTTTTCGAAATGATCATAACATAGAGTCCAGATTCCCTTCCTCAACTCTGCATCCTTAGGCAAGTAGCAAAACTCCTTTTCTCCGGAGAACCAATACCTCCACGGCTTTAAAACAACACCATCACTAGCTGCGGCAGTCCTTCGAAATATTCTTTCTGCATCTTCTCGTCGAGCAACTTTTACAAACACCACATCTATCAATTCCCCGCGAAGATCAGAAGATATAAACAAACGCCCCTCATACAATTCTTGAGAAATTCTATTATTCAACATGAAACTGTAATAACAAAGCCCAGAACCAATGACCATGTCCTGTGAATTATTGCCACGAAACAACAACCGTCGAACTCTCTCAGGTAATCCATTTTTACCGAAAAGAATTCTTAGCAAGGAAAGTAATCTGCAAGAAAAGATAGAAACAAAGAAACATTTAATAAAACACATTGCAGCTTCTCCAGCAACTTTTAATTAGCCAGCAAACAAAGTACACATTGCAAACAGTATCCTTAGAAAAACACATTGAGCTAAAAAAGAACAGTAAGGTAAATAAATAAATAAAAACCAGCAGTGTACATCCTAAGAAAACTGAGATGCACAACTCTAACTAAATAGAAAAAATACTACTACAATGTTCAAAAGAAAAGAGAACAAAAACTAAAATATAACTGAGAAAGCATGAGATGAGCTAACCTTTGATTATCTGGGACAATGAAGCAAAAACGATGGTGTCAAAGATAGATCCAGTCCACCAGCACCTTTGATTAACGAGAGTGAAGTAATAAAATCAAAGAAGAAGGTCAATTATATAGGGCTTTGAACTAAACCACTTCCTCAATTGGCCCTAAAGCCCAATCTCACCAGTAAACCCCAAAAAAATCATAAAAAGGGTAAGAAATAAACAAACAGGTAACACTAGGAATTTTAAAACAGGAAACCAAATAGAAAAGTAAGTCGTACATATAAATACCATATTCTTAAATTCCTCGATTTCTTACTTCCTCATTCATGATAAGTAAACATGTCAATGGTTGAGCTCTTCCACCTCCACTCATGTGAGCAGAGGTTCAAACCCTGATGCACCCAAGAAATATTTGTGTATAAACCTCCTCCCCCAATCATTTGTACTAAAAACAATGCTTGAAAAATTGAACTACACAAATATAAAGGCGTCGGTTCAATGGTTAAACTGACCATATCAAACCATGCACAACCCTGATTATCACTACTAAATACATCTTGTACACGTGTTATAATATGAGTGGATATGATGGTTTATTTTCCTCTCTTTTAGGGAATAGTATCAATAGATTATAGATATTCACTTATATTATTACACGTGTACAAGATATACCACATGATAGTACTATCATAGTATTCTATAAACACTCTTCATTTTTAAGGTTGGTCACCATGCATTAATTAATTCATGAATGACTTTTGTCTCCAAGTTTTAGATGGACATCATACTCAAATTGGATCCTTTATCAAATTTGATTTCCTAAGTTAAATTAGTTAACTTACCTAACTAGGATTGTTCTAATTGGCTTTTAATAAGTTCCAAGTATGTGGAATAGCTAGAGTCGTAATTCTTTGGATGTGCTCAATGTATCTGGATTAATTAATTTGGGTGTTAGTTCAATGTATCATATGAGAGCTCAAGTCTTAAATTTTTGTATGCTCAAACCTCTCAGAGGAGTTGTTGAGAATTGAAATTGAAAACAAAGAGAGTGTTCTCTCATCTTTTGCTTATAATCTGGGATTCGTATAATCAACATGGTTTGTGCCTAGTTGCAGGTATTCTTAGATTAAACAGGGCTTAGTGGTTCATGGTTTGTATTTCCAACACCCTTACTCAAGTACCGCTACATCACCTTATCCTTTACATACTAGGTTGGACTAAACCGGCCCATAGTATCGGGATGGGCTAAGTTGGCCCATAGTGTTGGGTCGAGCCATCTCATAACCCAAAAAATAGGGACGGGGTTCGGGCTTGGGCCATTTTTACGGAACTACCTCTAGTTAAAGGTGTCAACGGGTTGTGTCGGCCTAGCCCGGCCCTTTTAGAGTCACCCCATTTAGGGCTCGTTTGGGAGTGCTTCTTTCCGAAGCGCTTATGCCAATAACGCTTATGTTAGTAGCGCTTATGACATAAGTGCTTCTACAAAGAAGCAGTTTGTCATTTGGATGTCACATTTAAAAGTACTTTTATACTACATAAAAGTGCTTTTGATATTTTGTTGAGTGTTTGGTTGACACAGTAAAAGCGCTTTATAGCAATGGCAACCCTTCCCAGTATAATCTCTCACAAAGCCATTTATGTTTTCCATTAATGCATCTGTCTTTTTCCTTTTCATTCAATTTCAATCAAAAAATATGGAAAGTATATATGTGCTGAAATTTGAGAGTAGTGAGCGACGGAGGCAACAAACAGACAAACAAGCCATAAATTTAAGCAAAAGGGAAAACACCATGACAGTGTGAAAAGCTCTGTCTTTTGTCTCTCTATCTGTATGAAAAGCTCAAGTGGGTTCTGTCTTTCTGGGTTGCTTGCTCCTTTCTCTTTATTTCCTTCTTTTCTGTCTTGGGTTGTTGTGCTTTTAGTATATTTCAAGGCTGAAGAAGCTGTTTATACCAAAATGAACAACCAATGAATATCGAACACGTGGGCTAAACCAGGGCCATGTGTGCCTTCGACATCCACCTTCGGTACCGAACCCGCCGATCGCAACATTAGGGCAACCTCGCCCCCTTTAACGTGTGGCAGTCTCACAACTGACGCCCAGAGTCCCACATCGAAACTCTAAACAAATTGCATACCTCCCAATGCCTATAAAAGAGGACAACCATCCCATCTTGAAGGTAATCAATCAGAACTTACGGCATACTGCCTATCGATCTGTAGTTCAAACTTACTAAATCCGTACTTACTTAAGCATCGGAGAGCCTTCGGCCGGTACCACACCGGTGCCCTAGGACTTACCATGCGTTTGCTATCTTACAGATCGCACGCCTTACCGAGGACATCAGATACCGAAGAGACTAAATCACTAAGTTGCGCGGGAAAGTGCCGAACCATTTTTCTGCGTCAACAGAAGCTAAACTGAATCTGTTTATTGATGGGAAGATAATAGATGCATGCAGATATGATCACAACGTTTTTCAAGGCTTTGTGTTTATATAGGGAGTTTTCTTTTGGGATTTTTTCAAAGTTCTGGCTTAGTCTGGAAGTTTGGGAACTGGAAAGGGTGGAAAAAGGTCTGAGAAGAAGAAGGCAGAAGAAGAAGAAGGGTGTTGCTAAAGGGTGCTAAGGCTGAAGCTTCGTTGCCGACCAGAGTTAACAGTGTTTGTGAGAGAGATGGAATAGAAGCTGTGTTTTTGTCTGATAAGTTTTGGCGTCTGTTGGGCTTTTCAAGGGTAGCGTTTTAATTTTAATAGGAGAGAAAGAAAAAAAGAGAGAGGGTATTTTGGCATTAAAAAAAATTAAATATGGGTATTCTCGGCATTTTAAAAGTTTCATTAAAGGGAGCCAAGTGCTCCCCGTGTTTTTGTCCTGCAGCGCTTTTAAGAAGAAGCACCTCTCAAGTGCTTCTTCCAAAACCACTCAAAGTGCTTTTGGATCTCACCCAAAGCGCTTTTGCAATTTTTGCCAAACACTATTTTTAAAAGATAGAAGCGCTTTCACCCATTTAGAAGCACTTTTCGCTACTCCAAAAGCACTCCCAAACGAGCCCTTAATAAACTGGCCGTGTCTGGCCTGTCCATTTATGAAAATCATCAATCTTGGTCCAAGCCCAAGCCCCAAGCCCATATGGGCTAGGGTCGTGTTTGTATTGGGCCACTAAAGAGGCTGAGATGGACAAACCCCAAATTTGACTTTATGTATTGCAATTTTTTTTTTTTGGTAATTTTTTTTACAATTTCATTTAAATCTTTTTTACAATTATGCATATACTAACAAGATTTATTATTTGTTGAAAAAGGTGGTCATTAAATTTCTTTAAAGCACATTTAAATAGAAAATGACTAGATTATTGTATGGATTTTAAAAATTAAAACTTGAAAAACAAAATCATTATTTTATATATAAAGAAGACATTAAATTTTAATACATATTATTAGAGAAAAGAAATAGACTTGAATTTAAGATATAAATGTAATAATAATATGTATTATTTTTCTCTAAAACAAATGTAATTTAATAAATGGGCTTTAAACTCACTGGTTCATTAGGTTTTGGGCCAGTCGGCCCAGTGGGCCTAATTACCTTGTCTCAGCATGTCCCAAATATACAAGTCATGCCGTGTTGTGCCTTACTTAAGCGGGCTGTATTCGTGCCGTGCCGTGCCGGGCCAACCATGTTCGTTTAACACCTCTACCTCAAGTGTAAGGATAACTGCTCTTAACAGCTTGAGCAAATATATAAATAGTTATATTTTCGGAATAACAAATTGAATTGAGGAGTTTGGACATCAGTGACAGTCTAACAAATGTACCTAAGGTGGAAGGATTATTCGAAGCAATAGTGCCTAAATTAAAGCCAATTTGCATTTTGGTCCTTCAATTTTCAAAATGAATGTTGTTGTCCTTCTACATTTTCGTTAACAATAGAGGTCCTGGCGTCAATTCTGCACTGGGCCCCTAAAATCTCAAAACAATGTAACTGTCATCAAAATACCTTTGTCTTGTCCCTATCTTCATCAATGATCTCATAAAAACTCATGTTTGTTATGTTACCATGTTTACGTGGAAGTACTGACAAATCGTCTAGAAGGAAATAAAAAAAAGGCATTTTCATTTTTAATAGGATCTTCTTGTTTCTAGCAGTAACATTTTTTTTTTTTTTTTTTTTTTTTTTAAGATTACACTAATCAAGAGAAGTTTCTTGAGAAGACAGAGGAGAGAAGAACTGATCAAGTCTTGAAATTTATGAGAGAGAGAGAGAGAGAGAGAGAGAGAGAGAGAGAGAGAGAGAGGATGGAATTGGAGGAGAATAGTATAGAAATAGACAAGAAAGGGGAAATGAAATTGAGACAACCACTTCTTGTGAAGAACAGGAGAAACCACACCTCTCAGCATGCCATTGTTGGTGCCAATATCTGCCCCATTGAAAGCCTGGACTATGAGTTTGTTTCCTCCCTCCTCTTCTCATTTTCTTTCTCTTTCTCTTTGTTGTTTTTGTTTTTCAATAATTTTTTTTCCTGTTTGCTTGTCCAGCCAGACAATGGTCATGTTGGATTGATTTATCATGGATCAACTTATTTCTTGCATTTCCAAAAATTGTTCTTTGGATCTCATTACATGATTTCTTTTTGCTCCCCCAACAAATTAGCCAGAAATTGGAGAAATATAGACAGGAAAGAAGTGATTTTGAAACGAGTTATGTTCTGGCATCCCAGAAAATGAAGAAAGCAAACTTTGAAGCCTTTTCTGTTTAATGAAGAAAGCAAATTTATAAACATATCGCACCGAATTTCAGTACAGAGCTTTTGTGGATTTAAAACATAATTGTTAACAATCTTGTATATGTTGCCTCACTGATTTATCTCTGGTTTCTTGTAGAATCATCGAGAATGATCTTTTTAAGCAGGACTGGAGGTCTAGAACGAGGGTTGAGATCCTTCAGTATGTTTCCCTCAAATGGACACTTGTGCTCCTTATTGGGCTAAGCACTGGGTTAGTTGGGTTTTTCAATAACCTAGCTGTAGAGAACATAGCTGGTTTCAAACTTTTTCTTACCAACAACCTCATGCTTCAGGAAAAGTAAGCCTAGCTTCTACTGCATTAGTACTATCTGAGTTTCAATGCAATGTCCACCCCCTCTCTTTTTTTTTATTGTTCCAGTTGCATCCATCTTTGGGTTTTGTTTTATGGGATAACCTAATCATTTTAGTTTATCTAACTATGACATTGATATTCTTTTCTTTTTTCCCCTGCAATGCATCTTTATTGTTTATTGCTATATTTATGTTATTAATTGCTTTTCTTATAGATACTGGACTTGTAATGCAGTAGAATCTGTTCAGACTCTCATTACTGAAAACAGCTAGGTATTTCATCTTAGTGACGTAGTGACACTTTCACTGAAACAAAATTCGAGTGCATGACTAGTCTTCATCAGGATGGACAATGCCCATTTTAGGAGTGTAGGACAGCAAATTGATAATATTCATGAATAAAGAAGAAAGGGGGAAACTGTAAAACCTTTTGGGAGACTTTTGATTTTTCAAGTAAAGTTGTCTCAAATAAATTTAGAATTTTTCTTGTATATTTCAACTTTAGCAAATTTATCCTCTAGTATTATGGACCTGTTTAATTAAAAAGTGCTAAAAACGTAATCATTACCTTGATTATCCTTACGGCATACTTGTAATAAATATTTTTGAGCAACTATGATGTTATGTTAACTCCAGTGCAGGTATTATCGGGCATTTGCAGCATTCGCTTGTTGTAACATGGTCTTGGCTGCTGTTGCTGCTGCTCTTTGTGCCTATATTTCCCCTGCAGCAGCAGGCTCTGGCATACCTGAGGTTAAAGCATATCTCAATGGTGTAGATGCTCATTCTATATTGGCTCCAAGTACTCTCTTTGTAAAGGTGAGTAGCAGATTGAAAGCAGTTCTCTTTTCCGCTCTTTCTTTTTATCTATCACTCATACTATTAAGAAATTTTTATGTCCAGTAAATACGTAAAAGTTCGTGTGAGTGTTTGGCATTTCATATTCATATTATGTAAACAATCAAAGTGGAGTCACAAAAACATTTCCCACATTTTGGACGTCAAATGATATCGCAAATGAAATACTGCTACATTATTTGGGATTTGGTTTTGGAGTCTCCAACAATACTCACTAGCAAAGTTGTGTATGTACTATAGGTATGCTAAAGATGGTTGTGTAAAGCTGACAAGGTATTTAAAAATTTATTTTGTAATAATTACATAGTCTCAACTTGGCAGATTTTTGGTTCTGTATTTGGAGTAGCTGCTGGGTTTGTAGTGGGTAAGGAAGGACCTATGGTACACACTGGGGCTTGCATAGCCTCTTTGTTTGGACAGGGTGGCTCTCGCAAGTATCATTTGACCTGGAAATGTCTTAGGTACTTCAAAAATGACCGGGACCGACGGGATCTGATTACCTGTGGTGCTGCGGCTGGTGTTGCAGCTGCCTTCCGTGCTCCAGTTGGCGGTGTCCTTTTTGCACTAGAAGAAGCAGCTTCATGGTATATATCCTTTTCACATAGATTTTTTTAACGTCTCTTGCAACTAGGGATATATAACTATATTTAGCTTAAAAGAGCAGCTGTCTTTTCTGTTTTGCAATGTAATAATCTATTGTAGAAACTTTAGTATTTCATCAGATTGAGGTATATTACTTCGTCGACATTTTCTTTTTTCCTTCTATTGTGGCTTGGAGTAATTTTTGTCTTCATTTATCACAAGGTGGAGGAGTGCTCTTCTCTGGAGGACATTTTTCACAACAGCTGTTGTAGCAGTATTGCTAAGAGGTTTCATAGAATTTTGCAAGGGTGGTAAATGTGGACTATTTGGCGAAGGAGGCCTTATCATGTTTGATGTCAGTTCAGCAAAGGTGGCCTATAGCAGTACTGATCTTCTGGCAGTCATATCTGTAGGAGCCATTGGAGGCATTTTGGGAAGCCTTTACAATTTCCTTGTGGACAAAGTCCTTCGAACGTATAGCATCATAAATAAGTATGCTTTGAAATTTCAATTTATAAGATGGTTAAATTTGTCATTATAATAGAACACTATAGCCACACACAAGAACACATAAAATTGATGTGCCAAATATTTTCATCATGTATAAGCCAAAAATTTGCATTTTGTCTTCTCAACACTACACATTTTAGCCTTAGTAGAAAATCTAAGGAAAAAGAAAAGAATCACATTTGTTTTAATAAGTTTGATAATAATCTGTTCTCAATTCCAGTTATAAAAACATATGCTTTTGAGTTTTCTTATTAGTTTTGAATTTCTCAACTTCATTTTTCTTCCTCTTGATTATCTGGGGACCAGATGTTCTCAGAATTCAGATAGTCATTGGGCATTAGCTTTCAAACTTGTTGAAATGCTTTTATATGGTGGAACATTACATGCACATAATTGATGTATGTTGGTAATTTTTCTCAATCTCAGTAAAATTATACGTTGCTTGAAAAAAGAAAAAAAGTTTATGCAGTTTGTACTGTTGCTGATTACTGAGAATGATTTACAGGAGAGGTCCTTCATGTAAAATTTTGCTCGCCGTTACCATTTCCCTTTTGACTTCTTGTTGCTCTTACGGCCTCCCATGGCTTTCACCGTGCATTCCTTGTCCCCGTCGCCTGGAGGACCACTGCCCCACCACAGGTCGCTCTGGAAACTACAAGAATTTCCAGTGTCCACCTAAGCACTACAATGGCCTGGCCTCACTCTTTTTCAGTACCAATGATGATGCTATCCGCAACCTTTTAAGCTCTAGCTCTGATGGGGAGTTCCACCTCTCCACTCTGTTCGGTTTCTTTGTTGCGGTGTACTGCCTGGGCATTGTCACTTATGGTATTGCTGTTCCCTCTGGTCTCTTCATCCCTGTTATACTTGCTGGGTCCTCCTATGGGCGCCTTGTCGGGACTCTCCTTGGTTCTCACTGTGAACTTGATGCGGGTCTCTTTTCCCTCCTTGGAGCCGCCTCCTTCCTTGGTGGCACCATGAGAACGACTGTTTCTCTCTGTGTCATACTTCTTGAGCTTACTAATAATCTTCTGATGCTTCCACTAATGATGTTAGTTCTCCTAATTTCGAAAAGTGTGGCTGATTGTTTCAACAAAGGTGTCTATGACCAAATTGTGAAGATGAAGGGATTGCCTTATATGGAGGCGCATTCAGAACCATACATGAGACACTTGGTTGCAAGTGATGTTCTCTCCGGTCCCTTGGTTTCATTTTCTGGGGTGGAGAAAGTGGGGAATATACTGCATGCACTTAAAACAAGAGCGCATAATGGGTTCCCTGTGATTGATGAGCCACCTTTCTCAAATGCTGCAGAGCTGTGTGGGCTGGTTTTGAGATCTCATTTACTTGTGTTGCTTAAAGAAAAGAAATTTACAAAACTCAGGGTGTTGATGGGATCAGCAGATCTTATGGATAGATTCAAAGCACATGATTTTGGAAAGGCGGGATTAGGCAAGGGGGTTAGGCTGGAGGATTTGGACATTGAGGAGGAAGAGATGGAGATGTATATTGATCTCCATCCCATTACTAATACCTCCCCATACACTGTAGTTGAAACAATGTCCCTAGCTAAAGCTGCCATTTTCTTTCGGGAACTTGGCCTAAGGCACTTGCTGGTGGTGCCCAAGACACCAGGGGTACGTTTGAAATGATTTCAGATTACCATGTGTTCTTTGTAGTACAAGGTTATTTCTGTTTCTAGCTAACAGCTAGAAAAGAAAGATTAAATCCCCCAACTTACTAAAAGTTCCCCTATAATGCAGAAGCCTCCGGTTGTTGGAATCTTGACAAGGCACGACTTCATGGCAGAGCACATATTGGGACTCTACCCGCACTTCAATCCTCACGAGTAAAAATGCGATCGAAGTAAGAAATTTTCAGTTTTCATTAATTTAATTTTATATTTTTATGTTTAACTTTAAAGCTATTCTGGATTGTTCTTTGTTACTTTTGTTACTGGTAGTTACATGAATACCTTAATACAATGTTATTTTGTTATTGACTTTTGACTTTGTTTCATTTATCGTTGGAATATTGTGAATGACTAGAATACAACATCTGAGTTTCTGAAGCTGGGAAATGCAGGTAATTCTTTAGTAGTTATGAATACTCCTTCAAACCAAGTTCAATTGAGACTAGAGGCATCTTGAAGTTTCAAAACTGTGGGTGGTCCTTGAGAGTTCTGAGCACTTCAGTCATCATCTTCGGGGCGGCTCAGTGGTTTCAAGACGTGTGTTATCCTTCCTCAAGGGTCACTCTGGAGGTACATAAGATATGACAAATTGCTCTGTTTCATTTCTATTTGGTAAGTTACCAAGTAAACCTAGAGGAGCTGACTGCATTTGTTCTTGTGATTTGAATGTTGCAACTTGCAGCTTGCTGTGTTCTCTAATTTGGGTTCTTCCGCAACCTTACTAAATTGTCAAACTCAACAAGTAACCCTGTCCAGATGCGTGCAGTACATATTTATTTGATGAATGTCTTTTGAAGGAGCATGTAATCCTTGATTTATGTAGAGCATACGGTCACCTGAAATTTTCTTATAATTATATAAATTAACTACATTGTGGCAGGAATAGCTCAACATAATTTTTTTTTCTTAATTATCCTCCAGAACATGGTAGCAATGGCATCACTCCAAACTTTAGATTGAGTTAGGAAAACCAAGAAATGAAATGATTCATGTACAGTTTGATATGCGAGACACGACCTCTTGGAAAGCTTAGAGTAATGACTATTATTTTTAAACAAAAAGAAATTGTACTTAATTAACATTGTGGAAAAATTGCACAATTATCACAATAATAACAAAAATAAAAATGACAATAACGATAACAATAACAATAAATAAATAATTATAATAATTAAATAAATAATCAATACTGTAAGGCATCATATCTTAGCCTTATTTAATTACTTTCATTAGTAATTATGTTTTAATTATTATATCTTTAGTGAATAATTAGTATTAAATATTTTAATTAACTTCACAAATTATATTACTTAATAAATAGTTTTTAATTTTTTTAATTTTTGGCTTTCATAAAATATTTAAATACTAATTATTCACTAGGTAAATAATAATTACATCATAACTAATAATAAAAGTAATTAAAAAAGAGAAAACCACATTATGGTATTTATAGGGTATAGCCACGCGGCTATACTTTTGAATATTATCTTTACAGAGTATAGCCGAGCGGCGATACGTTCGAAAAATTCTATTTGCAGAGTACAGCCGCTTGGCTATACGGGGCGGCTAGACTTTTGAATTTTTTTCCATTAATAGAGCGGCTATACTTTTGTAAAGTTTCTATTTATAACGTATAGCCGCGCGGCTATACTATTGAAATATTCTTTTTGTACAGTATAGCCGCGCGGCTATAGTTTGGAATATTTTATTCTTTAAAGATATTTCCACATTGCAACAACAATAAAATATGAATTTATATTTGCCGGATTAGACCTCTCTCGACAAAATTTATTTGGAAGAGATTTCTTTTCAAAATAAATATAAACTTAATATCTTTAGGTCAATATTTTTTATTTATTTAAAACTTACTTTTTATTAATTAAATAATATCTTAGCTTTATGTGAATAATTAGGATTCAATATTTTAATTAACTACACAAATTAATTTTTAAAATTTTTTTCTTTAATAAAATATTTAAATACTAATTATTCACTAGGTAAATAATAATTAAAACATAACTACTAATTAAAGTAATTTAAAAAAGAAAACGAAATTTTGATATTTATAGGGTATGGCCGCACGGCTATACGGTTGAAATATTATATTTAGAGAGTATAGTCGCGCAGCTATATGTAAGTGGTGTAAACAATTTAGTACACAACTGAAGTATACAAGTGTACACAATTACAGCAAAATTGTCTACGAATAGAGTAAACTGGGGAATTTTCCCAAGTTTGCCTTTTAGAAAAATATAATAGCTTTATACAGTCCCAAAGATCAATCTTGAAGTTGGATCATATATAAGATTTGGATGAAGTTGGATCAATCCTGCCAAGACTAGATTTATGTTTGCTCTGCTGATGAAAGGAGTTAACTTACAAAGCTGGGATTTTGTAAATACGTAATTATCTTGAATATATTAACTAGTTGATTCATTCAAGAATCAATGTTATTAGCTGTGAATTTGAACGTTTTGGTATTTTTTCGTTTCTAGAAACATCAATCGCTTGTTGAACCCTGTAAATGTGAATTGGCGTAGACAGTTCCCCAAGAAATTAAATAACTGATATTTGTTTCCCTCGACCAGAGCCCTCTGTACCACATCTTAATAACAATAAGCTTCCATTTCTAAGATTTATTAGTTGTGTTTTGTTAATTAGTTGATTAATTTTCTGTGCATGGCTAATGGTACGTAGAAGGGGTACTGTATATATACCCCTCTGTAAGACGGGCTTGGCTATCCACTCTTGAGTTGAAGTTTAATCTGAAAATTAAATATTATTGATTCAAGAATCAAGCAAGAGTTTTGTTAGGAGGTCATGGCATCCTCATCACCATTTTGTAGGATTTTACAAGGGATATGTGCCATTGCTTTGATTGCATCTTTGCCACAAGGTCTGCAGTTCATTTCCACATTTTTTCTTCTTGTAATCATACATTTTGGTGGAGCTTTTTCACAACGAAATTTAAGTACTAAATTCATGGCACAACCAGTAATTGATCCTCCGTTTGGATGAAGGAATTGAAAATTACATAGAATTCTAAAATTACGGAATTTAGATTACCATCATTTCAATTTTTGGCAATTGAAGATTTCAGTATTTGGATTTATGTATGTCGAATTTTGTAAATGACATAATTTATAAATGGCACTATGGAAATTGTGAAATGACGCCTATTTTGTTGGAAATTAAACTCGGGAATTTGATGCCCCAATTTCCACAATTTTTTACACGCATCATTTAATAAGTTATGCGCTTAAGTTGCCAAACAAGGGAATTGTCAATTTCTCCTCTTAAATTCTCAACTTTTAGCTAAATTCCAAGTTATTTTCCCTCATCGCTTTTAGCAAATTAGGAAATTCCTGCTGAGTCCCATTACCAAAAAAAGAGTTAATTAAAGCATTTGAGTTTGTTTTTTTTCAAAAAAATGCCTCAAAGGACTGATCAATTAATTGCATGCAGCTCCTGTGAATGCCGAGAGGAAGTTTCAGGGATTGCAAAATGCATCAAACTCTGAAGAATTGGAAGTAAAGAGGTCTGACTTCTCAAGCGATTTCGTGTTTGGAGTCTGTACTGCTGCTGCACAGGTTCACCATTAACTCCAGTTGTAAATCTGTTATACATCATTTCATTTCTATCCTTTTTTATTGTGTGTGTGTGTGTGTGTGTATTTTTATGTACCTATTATGATATGCTACTACTGGGTGCAGATTGAAGGATCAGCCAAAGAAGCAGGAAAAGGACCAAGTGTTTGGGACCACCATATTGAGAAATACCCAGGTTCATATCCACAACTGTTTACGTAAAAATTGCTTTAGTTTACCAACTTATTTTATGCTCATTTTCTTCTCTGTTATTTTCCTTTACATTTTAGAAAGAATTCAGGACGGCTCTAACCTTACGTCCATCGATTCATATAAGCGATACAAGGTGAGTAAGAGCTTGCAATATTTTCATCTTTTTTTTGGGCATATATCTGACCTAGCTATATTAAATTTGTAATTACAGGAAGATGTGAAGGCTCTGAAGGACCTTGGAGTTGATTCTTATAGATTTTCTATCTCCTGGACCAGGATTCTTCCTAGTAAGAACATTCTCTCATTAGCTGGTTTGGTTAGAAATGTAAGAGAGGATGAAAAGAATGGCTTTAAGTTTACTATAGAGATTTGTTACATATTAGACTTGATCTCTCCTAATTAAACTCACTGCTTCAATTGTTTGAAATTTTGAACATGTAGAAGGAACTTTGAGTGGTGGAGTAAACCAGGAAGGCATTGACCACTACAACAGCTTGATTGATGAATTACTCAAGAACGGTAAGAAGCTCGATATTTTATATGAACATAATTGCTTTTAGTGGTAAGATCTTAGTTGTGTAAACTCTTTGTTTTTTCGATAACCCTTTTCACATACAATGCTATATTTTCTTATAATTTGTCTAGAACTTGATTACATATATATCTAGAATCCTATGTTATGGTGTATGATGCTCTATTTTCTTACAGTTTGTGTAATTCTATGTTTTGATGCAGGCATCACACCTTATGTGACCATATTACACTTCGACCCTCCACAAGCTTTGACAGACAAGTATGGAGGTGTCCTAAATCGCTCTTTCGTGTAAGCAAGCACTTTTCTCTTGTTATACCAACTACTTCCCATCTCTGGATCAAATACGAAAGCTAATTATGTATTATCGAATGCCATTCCACATGCTAATTATGTTTGGATTATGACATAAATTAATTTTCAGGGATGATTTCAAGGATTACAGTGAACTTTGTTTTAAAACCTATGGAGATAGGGTCAAGAATTGGATTACAATCAATGAGCCATATATTATGGCTAAGAATGGTTATGACTTGGGAGTTGCTCCACCAGCCAGGTGTTCTGTACGAGCACGTTTTCCATGTACGGTTGGTAATTCTGCTACTGAACCTTACATTGTGAGCCATAACCTTCTCCTTGCCCATGCTACTGTTGTCAAGCTCTACAAAGACGAGTTTCAGGTGAGCCCTGTCCATCAAATTCAAGATTAAATATATTATTAGTCTCTAATTTTCGTTGATGAATAATGTCTAGATTTCTCTAGGCACAACAAGGTGGACAAATTGGAATCAGTCTTGTTGGACCATATTATGAGCCTTATTCAGGTTCAGCAGAAGACAAAGCTGCAGTAAAGAGAATTATGGACTTTGAACTTGGATGGTTAGTAAATCCATTTTAAATTCATCTTCATCAATTAATTACTTGCTAATTGAGTAATTTGTACTTCTTCTCAATCAATATTAAGTTAACACACACAAATGAGTATGTTTGTTTTCTTATTTAGGTACATGGAGCCATTAGTATACGGAGATTATCCCAAGTCTATGAGAGATTTAGTCAAGGATAGGCTACCCACTTTCACCCAAGAAGAGAAGAAATTGCTCAAGGGATCCTTTGATTTTATCGGCATCAATTACTATACCACAAGATATGTTAAAAACCAACCAGCAAGTACAGCTAAAGCAGTCGCCTATCGCTTCGATTCTTTAACATTATCTAACTTGACTGAAAGTAAATAAATCTACATTGCCCTGTATTTACCACCACTACTGTGCTTGTTTGTGTGCTCTTTTTCTCTGCAAGCGTTTGTATGTATGAATGATAAATAGATAGATAGATAGATAGACAAAAGCCTGACATGATTTTGTTTTTCCTCATGTTGTGATTGTTGCAGATATAGATGGAGTCTCAATTGGTCCTTTGGTAAGAATAACGATATGAACACTATTGCGGTTATCATGTTTATAAATCGAGCAGATAGTACTAGCAATATTTTCCAAAAAAATTAAAACTTGTTTACCTTTACAGGCTGAAGGAAGCATTTTTGTCATCACTCATCCAGAAGGTCTGCAGAAACTTTTGGAGTTCATGAAGGAAAACTACCAAAGCCCTAAAATCATCATTACTGAAAATGGAATTACTGAGGCGAAAAATGATAAACGTGGACTTGATGTAGCACTAAAGGATCCACATAGAATTCAAAGTATTCTTCGGCATTTGTACCGGATCAAGATGGCAATAAAGTAAGTAATGAGTTTATTTCCTTAATTCATAAGAGTTGAACACAATGCATGTTTACGAGTTTGCTTGGCGATCCATATAGAGTATTCATTTACTTGTCATTGTTGTTGTTTGTGCAGGAATGGTGTAAATGTCAAGGGATATTTTCACTACACTTTAAATGACGACTTTGAGTGGGGGGAAGGCTTTATTCCAAGATTCGGGCTTTACTATGTCGACTACAAAGACAATCTCAAACGCATTCCTAAAGCCTCTGCGAAGTGGCTCCCTAAGTTCCTAAAGGGTGAGGCTTAGACATAAACTCTATACGTATACAGAGTTTAACAAGCCCAAGCTCCCTGCATATACGTAGAGTTGTTGCCTATAAATGTTGATTCAATAGGGTGAGGCTTCCATTTTCTTTGTATTTCTTTGGAATTCCTGCCTTGTACAACAACAGTATCTGATATTCAAGTTCTAATAATGTGTTGTACGTTTTTTTTCTTATTTAGGTACATGGGATAATCTCCGTATACTAATGGCGTTTTCACGAGGAGCACGTTGAAGCTTATAGAGAAGAAATAACATGACAGGAAATAGGAAATAATGTGTTGTAAACCAAAACTGGACTTAGTGAAGGAATAACATAACAGAAAACAGGAAATTAAGTTGGAAGGTTTATGATCTGCATATTTTCAACAAAAATCCGCTGCAGAAATTCCTACTCCTTTATGCAGTTTATTAATGATTAGACTAAATCCAGAACCTGCTGTATCTCCTGCCATGTTGTACTGATTACAATTTATATACAGAATACAATTGCAAATTTCTGAGGCAGAAACAGAATTTGCAGACTCGCTCTGTGCTACTAACCACTAGAAAACATTTACACATGATTTTGTTTAATGACAGTAATTTTCCCAGAGTCATGAATTTGAGCCGATGAATATATAAGCATTTGTTAAATAAGGAAAAAAAGGGCTTTTCTCATGAATTGTCTTTCAAGTTTTTATGTCTTCATCATATAATCTTCGTTAAAATTGGTCATGGTAACCTGAGTTCAGACAATAACAGAATACTCCTTTGAATCGAAACATTGAATACCCACCTCAAAATTTCCTAAGCGAAGATAGAGCTAAGTTGCATAATAGACTTCAATGGATCACATAGGAAATTCAGCTCAACATTTGTATATGGTTTCATTGACTTTTGAGAACCATTTGTCAGTAAGAGCCCTTTAAATGGCACGGGCATGTCAGTCGAACATCCAGCAATACTTGTAAATACAAACAAAACAAAAAAAAAGTAGAGATAAAATCCAAATCCTGTTTCTTCAGTTCTGTTTTTTGAACCAATCCTCATTGCACATCTCATTCCTGTTCAGCATCTTCAATTTCTTCATCCTCTGGCACCCCACGAAGGTAGAGAACGTTGTTACATCTGTTGAAGATGTGTCAGCCCATTCATTGGACACTCAAGGTTATGAATGCATATGCATGATTATGTGCTACATTGATGTTAAACATTACTTTTAAACAGAAACATACTATAAACTTCTGTGCAGAAACAGGTCGTGTAGAGGAAAATTGAGAACTTGAATAATCTACTGTGTTTACTGCATGGCAGTTTGCTACCGAACTCACCAAAACTCCACCCAGTAAAAGGGAAGAATTATAAATCTCCGATATGGCATATAGAATACAGCAGTCTGAGCATTGCACTATCAAGGAGCTATTCCCCAGTATCCTATATTTCGCTCAATTGTAGCCATATTACACATCCATGTATACATGCCAGAAGGTAAACCCATGGCATCCAAAAGGTACATGATCCCAACTTTTGCACCTTTTGAGGACCATTATTAACTTCAATGGGTAATCTAAGCTCCTTTTTAGCAGTCATTAAATTAACACTTGTTCCATTGCATTGCCTCCTTTAATCCCATCTGATTCTTCCAAGCTTCCTCTTCCTCAAGGGTTCTTCACATATATATCCTCTTTTTTTTTTTTTTCTTTTTTTTTGTTAAGTAAAAGTTCATCTACAGTAGACAGAACATGATTTCTTACGTTGGCTAATGTTTCACACCAGTAAATAGCGTCAAAGCAGAGACGGGGGCAGTAGTGCGATATTATAGAAAGGGACCTTTTGGAGAGAAGGAGAGAGATTCATATGCCTAACATTACATCCTTTTCAATGATATAAGTCATAATGAACTGCACACTGTCTAGTAGCGTACATTGTTAACTGAAGCCAACAGCAGCTTCAAAGTTACATGTTATATGTGGTTCCTAGACATTAGTTGCTTTTCCTGGGGAAAAAAGGTAAACTACATGCTAAAAACACTAAAAAATAAATGCAATGCAAATACAAATAGAAGGCACATTCCAACAACAAAATCTAAAGAAGATTATAGTTAAGAAGTTCAAAGCATTTGAGCAAACTCACCTGATCAAAATCTCTCCCAGATTTCCAGTGAATTGTCCATCAATATATTCTTCTGTGTTGGCCAACTATGCATAAGATTACATACATTACACATCACTTCCAGCTTCAAATTTATTGTCTTGCAGTAAAAAGGGGGAAACTACAATATGTATTCCGTATGAGTAAAGAAACCAGAGTTCAAATTTTAAAGTAGTACCTGCAAGTTCATATAGGAATCCACCGAGACCAGGAAGCCTGAACGGATGCAGTATCAAAGAGAAGTAGAAATATATTAAGAGCATGGTCATCAATTTTTAAGAACAGGAGAAATAAAAAACCTAGAGCATAAGATTCAAAGACGTCTCCAGAAACGAAAACAAATTATACCTTTGTACTCCATTCCCCATTTAAGTTTCACAATGACAGTCTTTCCAGTCAGATTGTTCAAGAAAGGTTTCGGGTTAACTGGTATTGTCTGCATTTTGCGAATGAACAAAAGTATCACAAATCAGGGCATGCCATTATGTTCAACAACTGAATTTAAATATACTAGCAAATAAAAATATTTTCGACGAATTAATGCTCAGATGTTATTCATCAACTACTAACTAAACACATGAAAATATTATTGTGCTTTTTAGAAGCAATATTTTTTTAATAATCTCACATTAAAACAAAATGAATGCATATAATATTATTTAGGAACCCAGCAGACCACAAGTTACACTAGCATATCATTGAATATAGCAAACCCCGAACTTCCACCAAAAAATAAAAGAAAAAAAAACCACCGTAAAGCCCAAAATAAGAAATTATAAGGACTCCCAAAGAGATGGTAAATTTTAAAAAGAAACCAGAAAGTTTTAAAACTTGTGCCGCAATTAGATATGAAAAAGACCCAGAGAAATCTTTCTATTATAACATATTTATGCACATGCGAGGAAGAAAGTTAGATGAAACAGGAATTACTCACGGCCATTGGCGATGGAGAAGACACCTTCAGTCGAGCTGAGCTGAAAGACGAGGTTTTTCTGTGGACTTTTCCGAGGGTTTAGGTTTTGCGAAACTCTAAGGTCCGGACCACTAAATTCTATCTACACCATTGGGCCTCGTTTTAATTATATACAAAGATAAAATTTTAATTTGATGGGAGGCCCATTTCTCTTTGTATATACTTTAACAAGAAAAAAAAATTACGTACATGTATTTGCTTTTTGTCTTCAATATAGTAATCCCATCAAATTAAAGTAAGAAAAGAATATGAATCATAGAACACACAAAAATCACAAGCCACATCATTTAATAAGAGTTATCGCTTAAATGTCAAAATGGTTCCTATGTTTTATCCTCTTAGCCAATTTAGTCTTTATGTTTTCAATTTGGCCAACTTAGTCCCCGTATTTTCAATTTGGCCAATTTAGTCCCTAATTACAACCATAAACTACCCAAATCCTCCACCCTACAACAATTCTCTTTGTCTCTATTCCCTTTAGCCACATCCTCCTTCCTACTCGACTACGAGCTGCAACATTTGCTGCTTTGTTTGCTCCATGGGAACCCAATTATAGTGCAAAAGCAAGGTTTATAGGAACGACCAAAAAAATTTGTGAACTCCTTTGAATAAAGAAGTTGCTTAGCTTAGATATGCCCTTGCATATGTGATGAACCTGTTTTGTGACAATAAGGTCGTGACAGATATTACACATAATCAAGTTCAACATGATCACACGAAACATGTTAAAGTGGATCGATATTTTTAATTATTAGAATATTTAATTATATTTAGTATTTACGTGGAGGTGGATTGTAACAACCCGATCCTCAAATTAATATTTAATTATTAAATTATTCCAGTAAAAGGCAATTATACCCCTAGAATATTTTATTAGTTTAAAAGTTGACTTTTTGACCGGGAAGGAATTTGAGGATTCCAGTTGTACCGTTGCGTAGAGCGCGACAAACCGAGTCCGTAGACATGTAGTGGACCCAAATCGGAGTTGTAACGAATGAGTTACGAGCAAAAGAAGTTCAGTGGCATAACCGTAAATATTTCAAACTTCAGTTTATATAAACCCAGAAATTTCTGGGTTTCGGGGAGCTCGACCAGCCAGCTTCCCGGGGCGATTTCTCCCACCTCCGGTCACCGATTCAGGCAAGACCGGTCACGTTAGAACCACCACACTTTCCTCTTCCAGTCCCAGCCCATCTCAGTCTCGATCTGCCGTCGTGGTAGCCGGAAACCGCCACGAAACAGGGCGGTTTGGACAGTTTTTAACGGAATTTCGTGGAGCTCGTTCTCCCTCCTCCGGCCATCGTTTCAGACGAGTGAGGTATGGTTTTCTAGCTATTTTTCGTGCTCTAGCTGCTGGTTGGGTAGGATTTCAGAAATTTCCAGCGTAGATAGCTCGGTTTACGAGCTAGGTTTCAGCAGGTTTTCGGGTCACTGTTCCGGCCACTTCCGGCCAGTTTTTGGGGTAGGTCCAAGAACAAAAGTGGTTCCAAATAGGGTGTTTTACCTAGGATAGGAGTCTTGAACCTAGATGCTGAGATTTTCCGGCGAGGCGTTATCGCTTTAGGCACCAGGCGCTGCCAGCGCGTGTGGCGGCGCGTGGGCAGCAGGGTGGGGACCACAGTCAGTCCTAGAATGATCTCCTAGTCCTCACGAGCGCGTAGGATTTCGCGGATCTTAATTCGGATAACGTTTGAACCCCGAACGGATCTCGCCTAGTATGCGATTTCCGGGTTCTATACGTTTGAACCGTTGGATCGTAGTCAATTTCAAGTATGTTGATCTAGGTATTTCCAGGATCGTATAGTATTTGACGGATCGTAAAACGGAGTCACGGATACTCCAGAAATGTCAGCCCTAGAGTATGTTTTACGAATAATTAAACCAGTTACAAAATAACGAACCAGTTGTAGGTCAAGAACAGAGGAAAGAACTACGTGTGGCTTGATCCCTCAGAAAGGGTACGTAGGCAGCCTACAGTTACCAGGCGCAGCCACGAGATAGGGCCCCAGAGTTTGTGTTATCGCTTCCAGGGCATTTTGGTCATTTACGACCCGCAGGCACTAGGTGTCAGTTTTGCACAGGATTCGACCCGGATTCCAAAGTGGAATTTGGGCCAGGTCGTCTCAATTGGTATCAGAGCATTAGGTTAACTTCCTGTAGACACTGCATTACATGTGCATCTGTATTTTCAGAATTGCTGGACAATTATTATGTTGTTTTATTCCAATTGTTATTTTATTATGTTATTTTATTTTATTGCATTGGTGTGACTGAGAAAACAGATAACCAGAAGGATTTGAAAAATTTGTTGAGGTTTTCATTTGAAAAACTTGTTATACATGTTATTATATGCTTATATGTCGAGAACTGAGGTTTAGCAAGATCAGTATTTAATTATCGGTTTATTCATCACCTATTTATATTTGTTCATATGATTAATTGTGTTGTAAGGGTATAAATTTATTATTGCAATTATATGCTCAGCAGAGAGTATGGTGGTTAACCAACTAGCTAAGTAGTTGATGCATATATTCAGAGGTTGAAAAGGAAGAAATTTTATTTTTGGTTTTCATCAGATTTTGGTGTGTGTATATATATATATATGGATATATTTTATGTTCAGTGGAAAACTAGTTTATTAAAAGTTTATGTAAATGACAGCTCATGGTTTTCAAACCCACCACAGCGTACCCCCCAGTTGCCTTGAGACAGTTGGCTATTTTGCCCCACGAGTTTCGGGGACGCCTGAACCATGTGGTGCCAGTTTACAGTTGTTATGATATTGCCCCACGAGTTTCGGGGACGCTCGAACCGTGTGGCGAGGATAGCGGCTCAGGCTGGCTAATGGCCCCCTGAGACCTGCCAGGATTGCGGCTCAGGCTGGCCCCCTGAGACCTGCCAGGACGCGGATCAGGTTGACCAAGGTCCCCTGAATCCTGCGAGGTTGCAGCTCGGATTGACTTTGTGTCACCGAGACCTGCGAGGACGTGTCACCAATGGTGATGCGAGGGGAATTGACGGATATCAGGAATTGACGGAATATCAGGAATTGACGGATATCAGGAATTGACGAAATATCAGGAATTGACGGATCAAATATGGGGGTACACCTAGGTGGAGAGGATTTCAGTTTGAGATGCTTTTAAACTAAATTAAGGATGTTATACAGTTATCATTATTTTCTTTCAGCATCACAAGTACTATATGGAAATATATATATACACATGGTTACTTACGAATTTTTAATGAGTTCAATACAAGAGCTTGTCTATTTTGTTTTAATTAAGTTTGCTTTAATTTACCTTATTTTATTTTATTTAAGTTGCTGATATTCATCTTTTTATTATTAAATATGGTATTAAGCAGCTCAAGTATTTCTAGCATATTTTGCCCCACGAGTCTTAGAGTTATCCAGACCGTGGGAGCGAGGATTTCAGGTCATGACGTGTCACCTTTGGTGTCACGAGGAATTGATGGTTATGGTTTTGCGAGCATGAAAAGGAAATGTTTTTAATTCTTCGTTTAAATTATGCTGTCGAGTGGGATATTCTTTATGGATACAGGAAAAGGAAATTCTAGCTAAATAGCAGATTAATGTTAGTAGAGTTTTAAATTTATTAGATCTGTTCAGAGTTGTTTATTTCATTTTATTTTAATCCAGTCTGCTTTCAGTTATTTTTATTTTAGTTTATTTAAATTGTTGACCTGAATTTTTATTATTGAACACGATAGTAGACAAGTCCAGTATTTCTAACATATTTTGCCCCACGAGTTTTACAATTATTCAGACCATGGGAGCCAGAATTGCGGATCAGGTTGACCAGATGTCTCCTGAGTCCAGCTAAGATTACAGAACATGATGAGTTATACATTCAATGTTTTTCAGCAGAATTACTATTTGATAAGTCGTGCATAAGTAAGAATGCATGAGTTAGGAATGTTTGAGATTGTCAGAGTATCATTGATAATCTAAAAGTTGACATGAATTGCATTAGTAGATCGAATTATTTGAATTGTTGTGGCCTGATGCCAAAATATTATGATGTTTGATTACTTGAATATGATTTGATGCATGATGGCAGATGAGTTATATAAATATACATACTTGTTTTACAGGTAGAATGTTTTGGGGAATGTTCAGTTTACAGGGGAGATTCTGCCGAATTTTCGGTAGAAGTCACACTTGAATTTCAGTTAATTTCAGTTAAAAAGGGCAAATTAGTCTTTTGTGCCCAGCATTAGCCAGGTATCGGACACTCATAAATAATTTTAGCTAAATACCAGATTAATGGCAGCAGAGTTTTTAAGTTTAGAGTTTTATATTTCCTTAAGATAGCACAAGTATTCATATATATATGTGTGGCCCTCAGATTTTCTTGATTGCCTTATAGATACAGTTATGGAGATGCAAATGGTGAGTGCAGTTTCAAAAGAGCAGACTTGAAAACCCGAGTAACAGGTGTAGGCTCAGTACCCTCACTTTTTGAGTGAGGGGTATGTAAATTTCGAGGACGAAATTTTTGTAAGGGGGGTAGATTGTAACAACTCGATCCTCAAATTAATATTTAATTATTAAATTATTCCAGTAAAAGGCAATTATACCCCTAGAATATTTTATTAGTTTAAAAGTTGACTTTTTGACCGGGAAGGAATTTGAGGATTCCAGTTGTACCGTTGCGTAGAGCGCGACAAACCGAGTCCGTAGACATGTAGTGGACCCAAATCGGAGTTGTAACGAATGAGTTACGAGCAAAAGAAGTTCAGTGGCATAACCGTAAATATTTCAAACTTCAGTTTATATAAACCCAGAAATTTCTGGGTTTTGGGGAGCTCGACCAGCCAGCTTCCCGGGGCGATTTCTCCCACCTCCGGTCACCGATTCAGGCAAGACCGGTCACGTTAGAACCACCACACTTTCCTCTTCCAGTCCCAGCCCATCTCAGTCTCGATCTGCCGTCGTGGTAGCCGGAAACCGCCACGAAACAGGGCGGTTTGGACAGTTTTTAACGGAATTTCGTGGAGCTCGTTCTCCCTCCTCCGGCCATCGTTTCAGACGAGTGAGGTATGGTTTTCTAGCTATTTTTCGTGCTCTAGCTGCTGGTTGGGTAGGATTTCAGAAATTTCCAGCGTAGATAGCTCGGTTTACGAGCTAGGTTTCAGCAGGTTTTCGGGTCACTGTTCCGGCCACTTCCGGCCAGTTTTTGGGGTAGGTCCAAGAACAAAAGTGGTTCCAAATAGGGTGTTTTACCTAGGATAGGAGTCTTGAACCTAGATGCTGAGATTTTCCGGCGAGGCGTTATCGCTTTAGGCACCAGGCGCTGCCAGCGCGTGTGGCGGCGCGTGGGCAGCAGGGTGGGGACCACAGTCAGTCCTAGAATGATCTCCTAGTCCTCACGAGCGCGTAGGATTTCGCGGATCTTAATTCGGATAACGTTTGAACCCCGAACGGATCTCGCCTAGTATGCGATTTTCGGGTTCTATACGTTTGAACCGTTGGATCGTAGTCAATTTCAAGTATGTTGATCTAGGTATTTCCAGGATCGTATAGTATTTGACGGATCGTAAAACGGAGTCACGGATACTCCAGAAATGTCAGCCCTAGAGTATGTTTTACGAATAATTAAACCAGTTACAAAATAACGAACCAGTTGTAGGTCAAGAACAGAGGAAAGAACTACGTGTGGCTTGATCCCTCAGAAAGGGTACGTAGGCAGCCTACAGTTACCAGGCGCAGCCACGAGATAGGGCCCCAGAGTTTGTGTTATCGCTTCCAGGGCATTTTGGTCATTTACGACCCGCAGGCACTAGGTGTCAGTTTTGCACAGGATTCGACCCGGATTCCAAAGTGGAATTTGGGCCAGGTCGTCTCATGGATCCACTTGCCACATCACCTATTCAATTGTTGTAAGGATTCATGTGTATGAAATTACAAAAATACCCCTGCAACGTCATCACATTTAACAAACTTTTGGATAAAGTTGACGGCATGGGGCAAAGTAGGTTACCAAACCTCGGTCAAGCGATGAAAGTGGGCTACTTTAAGTTTGGGGGAGGCAATGTGAGATTTGACTGTATTTTCATGAGGCATTGGTGTAAATAAGTCTAATACATATTGACATGACCCAACCCGAATTTCACCTCGGAATCCGTGTCAAACCCTGTTACCCATTCAACATCAGATCGATGCTAGGCCCACTTACTAAAAACATCACCTTCTCCGAAACAAGGGCAAAATGGGGTTGTGACTTCTACCGAAAATTCGGCAGAGTCTATGGACTTTACCAAAATTTCCACCTGTAAAAAACAATAGAAAAAGAAAATACCAACTGCCAGCACACACAATGCAATAACACAGATGTTACAAAACCCAGCTGCCCAGCTTCATCGCCCCGCCCCGCCACAATCCATCCCGGCCGTCTTCGAGTTTCCAGCAGCTGTGAATCCAAGACTCCAACCCACAATTTCGGCCGCTTTCAAACCTGGCCTCCACTCCAGCTCCCAACCGCTGCAAACTTGAGTTCCTTCGAGCTTCCAGCCCGGTCGCACTCAAGCCTTGGATTCCAGCAGCCATTTTTCTCCAGCCCGGCCAGCCTCTCCAATCCGGCTGTTATTTTTCTCAAGCCCAGTCAGTTCTCGCGCGCAGTAACCCCAAGAGCCCTTTTGCTTGTACTTTCGAAAAGTGCCCGGGTTAGGTGGATTTTCACCACCCTCAAACACCTATGGATTATAATATTTGCATATATAGTTTTCAAAAGAAAACAACTCTGAGTTTTGCTATAATTTGTAAGAGATAAACAAACTTATATGAAGGAATGGTTTTGGTGACTGATGGAGTCAAGTACTGCGTTGGTGTTCGCAATGAATCAGATTGCTTTGATGATTGGTAATGGTTCAGTTGAATTTTTTGTTGGTTAAGTTAAAACTGCGGGTAATTAAACAAGGTGACATATTGTTTAAGTTTAAACCTGAAAAAAAAAAAAAAAAAAAAAAAAAAAAAAAAAAAAAAAATTTTTATTAAAATGGACTTTGAATTTTTCAAAAAAATTCATTTGAGTTCTCAAACTCTCAAATTAATCAATGTCGTTTTGATCTTTTTGTTCCACACATTTTGGTCCCTCTCGAGTCTCGTCGCATTATGTCAAAATATTAGTTAAATTTGGTCGTGTACAGTGAAAGTAGTATTTTCATCAAAATACAACCTATCTGCCCAAGATAAAAATGGAATCCCGTGTATTTTTGCTCAACAAAGTTCTATACTCTTAGATAGAACCCAAATATAAAATTCTAAATAGAGAGAAGATGCCCATATTGAGCAAAATAGACAGATTAGTGAGAGATGAACATAGTTTGAGAGTAATTGGAAGAATGGAGAGCGTATTATTTCAGTGGGGGTAAACCCCTACTTATCGTAATTACATGAATAGAGTGTAATACTAACCTTAACTACTCATCAATCAAATGCATCGGTGGTCAACAAAGTCATAGCCCTAATCGCTATCTTGATTTAAGGCATCCCCACCATATTCACAAACAAAGAGAGCATTCTTTCCTTCTATAAATAAACTTCTCTCACTTTTATTGGAAGAACTTACATAGCATAGATATTCATGTAGCGATGAATTGATGTCATCCTTTTAATTAGGGTTCATGTTTAGATCGAACCGGAGCGCCTGGATTTGTCCCTTGATGTGGATTTAGATTTAGAAACAAAGCCGGTGGTTTGGCCTTTTGATTTGAGTTCAGGGCTCGAATGGCTATTTCCTTTAAGAAAATTCTTGAACCAGCTGGCTGATTGTTTAGGATATCTTTTATTTCCATTTTTGTAGTCCACAAAGTAGATACCAAACCTAACAGTGTAACCGTTGGCCCATTCAAAGTTGTCAAACAATGACCATGCAAAGAATCCTTTAACATTAACGCCGTCCCTGCTCAAAAATAAGAGTTAATACAATCACGTTAGTGAAATTGTTGGCGAGGAAATGAGAACAAAGTCTTGCTTTTGTTAGGCAATCACTTACTTGATGGCTAATTGAAGATAATAAAGATGTTCATCGTAATACTTAATTCTGTCCTTATCAATAAGAGCTTGCTCAAGCGACAACTTGGGATCATTATGCTCATCAACTCCTGCATTAATATAATAGCCATAATTATTATCGTTAACCTTAGTGTATGTGGACACATTAATTAGGTGATACTAAAATTATTGAATGTTTTAAAGATGTAATTATACCATTTTCAGTGATGTAAATAAGTGGATTCTTATACTTTCGCTTTGTATAAAGTAATATATCGCGAAGTCCTTTCGGATAAACATATAGCCAATCTGAAGCAGCCTGCCAAACCAATTAAAACAGTGAGAGTTGCAACATCATGAGGCTAAACTCAACATGTCATACAATTAAAAGTATGCTATATATTTAGCTTTGTATGTACGTACCACTGGACCGATGGGGACACCATTGCGGTTGTCTGCCAGAATAATATGCATGTTTGAAGTCTTGTTAGTGCATGTATAGATACATATATACATACAAAGTAATTTAAAAAAGAAAATCATAGCCATATTGGCAGCTTAAGTTTTTAGATTTTCTACTCACTTAATGAATCAGCCTGAGAGTCCGTCGCGTAACTTGGCGTTCCGGCCTTATTGGGAGGAACAGCTTTTGCATACGATGACGAGTAGTAGTTTAGTCCGATAAAATCAAATGAACCCGTTAACATCTGCGATTGCTCTTTGGTGAACTTGGGCAATCGATTCCCAACAAGAGATTGCATGCTCTGCGGATATTGACCCCGTGTCAGGGGATTCAAAAACCTACAATGAAGATCGAACGTTCCAAATGTTAATTACATTTCAAAGCATGATATGGCCACTGGCACATTTGAAAGCAATCATTAATACTGATGTCGTGCACGGATGAATACAAACCAAACCAGATAGATAATTCTACAAGTGCATACCATCCATAACTAAAATCCATTGCTCGTGATGCAGCATCTTTGTCGGCCTGTGAATCAGAAAATGGCACAGAAAAACCTGTGTTCAGCGCTATTCCTATCACGCCCTTCTGTGTAGCCTGCATGTGCATGGACATTCAATATTCATTAGTTTAATTATTATATATTCAGATTTAGCAGAGTCACATATGTATATTGATAACTTAAGGAACATGGACTAGAAGTTGACCAGAAATTTCTCTCTGTACACTTTCACAGCAGCTGCATGAGCAAGAAGTTGATGATGTGACGCCAAATATGGCTCAGTTCCTGAATTCCCGCCGTTACATTTTGTATGATTAGAACATCGGCCTGGTGCAAACACTCCGGATGTATAACCAGCGGTGCTAAAGGTATGGGGCTCATTTAAGGTGATCCAATGCTTAACTCTGTCACCAAATTCTCTGAAGCAAATCTCTGCGTAGTCTCGAAAATCATCCCTATATATAAAATAAAGTGTTTGAATATTTTAAGTGTTACGGACATTTAATCCAAGATGATAAGAAGAAGTAGAAGCAATCTCTTATTTTCCAAATCCTATATATGGAAACTCTAGTACCCTTTTTTTTTTCAAGTACATGGTCTCAACTATAGAGGAATGGGCATTTCTCATGCACACTATCATAGTGTTGTGGGAGTTCGAACCTGAGACCACTATTCTACAAGTTAAGGCTCTTTTTCATTGGACTAGACCCATTTGACGAAAACTAGTACTATTTAAGGCTATGATTACAGGATTATTTCAATTGCACTTACACACTCTTAGGGCTTAAAAAACCACCGTATGCATCTTCAATGCCTTGTGGAAGATCCCAATGGAAGATTGTGACAAAGGGCTTTATGCCTGCAATATTTAAAAGCACAAAATATATATATCAAAATGAAAATGAACAGTTATTAATGATTTTTTTGGTTGAATATTCCTTATAATGAACAGTGAGAAGAGCGATGCAAATAACCATTGGCTACAAGCTCGTTGATGAGGTTGTTGTAATATTTGATTCCTTCTTGATTCACGCCCCCACTTAGCATTCCAGCTGATCAATAAGTCCCAAATGAGAATTCATGTAAATAATGATGAGGATAACAATATTAATATTAATGTTGTTTTATATTTCATTGTGTCTTACTGGGTAAGATTCGAGACCATGAGATTGAGAATCTGTAAGCATCCCAGCCCATATCCTTCACAATCGAAACATCTTCCTGCAACAAAATATAAATTAGAAAGCATGTCAGAAAAAAACCTTTGCGCTCTTTAGTACTTAAATTCTTATGATATAATCTTCATTTTCTACTTTTTTTTCAAACAAAAAAGTGCGAGTTCTACATACGTACCTTATAGCGATGATATGAATCAATAGCCACATCTCCATTGCTGCGGTCCGTTATCTTGTCTATTTGTTTTCAATAGAAAAATTAACAAGATCAAATCCATGTTGAACTTAATTGTGTGGAATCCACTTGATTTCAATCTCTAACAATCAAAGTTTTTGTCTACATTTCTCATTTTCTTTGTGCAAACTAAACCCACTTATATAAGAAAGAGGACACATGAAAAAAAAAAAAGATACCTGGATATTTGTGAGTGAATGTATCCCAGATACTTGGCCCTCTTCCACCTTCTTTTGCTCCTCCTTCAAACTAAATTATTCCCACACACAAATAAACGGACATAATGAATCAAACTAATCATTCTAATGAGAACCTTCAAAGAAAATCTATAGATGAGGTACCTGGTAAGCTGCTCCAGCTGACCCGAATATGAAACCGGGCGGAAAACTGCTCCGGTTGAGGGCCTTAGCAGTTAATGTAGGATCTTTATGCTTTGACAAGGCGGCTTCACAACTTATGACTGCATAGCCAAGACCAAGTAGGAGGAGGCCGAAACGGAGATTGCCTAATTTAAGTACCATAATTGATTATTTTAATTTTTTTTGGTTTCTATCTTCTAGCTACTTGGCCTTTATATACATAGTGGAAGAAAAAAACATGTGGTAAGATAAAAACACTAAATTTGAAAGCTGTCTAAATATGGCATGCATGCATTCATTTTTAGGAAAAACCCTCAAGCCCGATAACTTCAGAAGTTGTCCGTACCCTTGATTTCAATCAGAAGCGGTCAATGCGTGCGCAAAAGTTGTTTTAACACTTGTGATGATGCTGAGTCGTTCAGAGAAACCACATAAAAGTTAAAATTAATAAAAAGATTAGAAACATCTAATTTGTTAACTATAACAAAATATTCGGTTTTTTTTTTCATAAATGTCAGTTTTTATAAATAAAAAATTCAAATCTAGCAAAAAAAACCGCTTGAATACACCCAAATGACGTCAAAATTAATACCCAATTACACCTAGAAGCCTGTTTAGAGAATCAACAAACACCGAAACACCGTGGTGGTTAGAGGCTAAAACCGGTCAAGATCTGCAAGGCTGGCGACTCTTAATTCCACTACAAAGTCATTGTCTTCAATTGTCTCTTAGCCTCATCATAGGATATATGCTTGTTTTAAGTCCTAGAAACTATAATCTAAGTTGGAAATTTTCTTTGGAACCAAACAACTTAAGAAAAAAAAATTAACGAACAGTGTAAGAAATTATATTAGAAAGAATACCTATCTAATAATCAACGAATTTTCTAGCAATGTATGGGGTTGAATATATTGGTGGATCATTTGGAATTTTCCAGCAATATTGACAAATTTTCAACAAAAAAGGAAAAAAAAGAAGAAAATAATTTGACACGTGTCAAAACCACATTGATTTTAAGTTTTTTAGTTACTTTACACAAAAATGTTCATCTCTCCAGAAGCACTACAATCTACATTCATCTCACCATGAAGATTGTTTATACTTAACAAATTCTAGACCACAGTTGCAACAAACATGTACTTCAACATCCAAAAAATATTGCAAAAAGAGGAATCAATGTCTCTAAATTTATCCGCATTTCGCTACATATGGACTATTCAAATATCAGTTGTTAGAAGTTTTTTTAAAAAAGAAATAGTATCGCCGTTCGGTTATAATCGATTTTTTAAAATGTTTTAAAAAGACATCGTATAGCCGATCGGCTATACTCCTTTTTAAATTTTTTTTAACGAAATATTATAGCCGGTAGGCTATAATCGGTTTTTAGAATTTTAGTAAAAAAGAAATAGTAACGCCGCTCGGCTATACTCGGTTGTTTTAATTTTTTAAGAACGAAATAGTATAGCCGTGCGGCTGTACTCCATTTTAAAATTTTAAAAAAATAAATAGCATAGCCACTCGGCGATACTTGGTTTTAAGAATTTTTAAACAAAGAAATAGTACAGCAGTTCGGCTATACTCGATTTTTCTCAATTTTTTTAAACGAAGAGAATAACCGCTCGGCTGTACTCAGTTTTTCTTTTTTTTAAAGAAGAAATAGTATAGCCGTTCGGCTATACGTGGTTTTTAATTTTTTAAAAGAAATAGTATCCCGCGCGGCTATACTCGATTTTTTCAATTTTTTAAAAGAAATAATATAACCGATCGGCTATACTTGGTTCCAACATTCTGCTTCTGTAAATGTTTCTGGCAACAGAGAAACCAGATCTTGCAGATTTTATCCAGAAGTGGGGTCTTCAGGTACATCAATAGTCAGTGCAATGGTGATTTATTGAGTTTTAGTATGTAGTGGTGGTGTTTTGAATTTATCACTTGTTTGATAATTAATTGGACATTTGCATACAGGAAATGAAACTGATGGGATGGAAGACAGGCATCTATGTCCTGTTCCTGGGGATGGAAATGATTTTTCTTCCGGTAGGGAGAATTGAAACGGGCAATTCGAGGATGCTACCACTGCAGCACAGGCAGCTGCTGATTCAGCAGAAATGGCAAGCATAACTGCCAGAGCAGCTGTAGAACTTTCACGGCAACGCTCATCAGAATCACATGACAAAGTTTGCTGGACAGCCTCCTCGAGAACCAGTACAACTTCCATTTCAGATAATAGTTTCCAAATGGCAGATCGATATCCTCAAAAGAAGTCATCTGAACCTGAGAAGCTCGACTTTTTAGGTGACGTGAGTATGAAGAAACAGTCCAGTAAATCTGAGGTGATGTAAGAGTGACTTGCAAGCTGGTTACTTATACTCCCCAAATGGCAGATCATTATCCTCAAAAGAAGTCATCTGAACCTGAAAATATTGACTTATTAGGTGAACTGAGTATGAAGAGACAGTTTAGTAAACCGGAGGTGGTATATGCAAGTGATGATCATACAGATGTTTTGAAAGGGAATGATCATATTTCTTATTTCGGTGATGTGCGGACTGGAAAACAATCTAGTTCTTCCTTTTGTTCTCATTGAAGAAATTTTGGTAACAATCACACAAATGTCTTAGAAAGCCCTGTTGGGGGTTCTTTTGTTGGTGATGGTAAGATCCATCAAGGCACAGAGGGAATGAATTCTTATGGAAATGCAGCTGTGATTTTTGATGACTCTGGTTCTGATGGCGATAACTGTGAATTTTATGTAGAGGAGGACTACAAGGGACAAGAATTTAGTTTAAAATTTTCTTCTCCCGGTGGAAATTCATCCTCAATTCCTTTGGATAATTTAAATGCTTGGAGCTCTGAACGAAGGAGTGATGAAGTATAAGCTCTTCATTTGAATAAAGGGGATACTAAATGGTATTGCTGCGCGGCTATATTATTTTTGAAAAAAAAAATTTAAAGAACTGAGTATAGCCGCGCGGCTATACGTATACCCAAAGAAAAGAGGCCCCCGCCTGGCGATTAGGAGCCCGCGTGTCAAAAAACTGTATAGCCGCGTGGATATACTATTTTTGGAAAAAATATCTGTTCATAAAACAAAAAAAAAGTCGCCCGGGTGTCAAAAAAGTATAGCCGCATTTCCAAAACAGTATAGCCGGCTGGCTATACGATTTTGGAAAAGAAATTTTAAAACCTGAGTATAGCCGCTCGGCAATACTATTTATAAAATAAATAAAAAAAGAGTAGCCTGCTTGCAATTATGAGCCCGCGTGTCCAAAACAATGAGAAAGGGATCACAAAACTATACAAGGAGCGGTCCACCAGAACCTCAGTCACATATATTACATTTGATGATGATTCTTCCGCAAATGAACTCTCACCTGCAAATGGTACCTGCCATAAAAAAGAACCATGCAGTCAGAAATGGAGCTCTGAACTAAAGGTGAGCATAAGTTCCTCTTTTTGTTACTTTGATTCAAATGATAGTGAGGCTGAGGAAGATGTTCCCCGACAGATTTCTCCCAGCATTGCTCATCTAATCACTAAATTTTCTAGGTGAACCAAATCTGTTTCTTCAAATCCTGTTAGAAGTTGAAGCTCAGAAACAATAACTTTTCCAGAAGCATCAGGGACTTGAGATTATGACCAATGTCAAATTCCATGAGAAGTTTAACAGCTAAATAAAGAGAGAAGAAAATAAAGGTGGGGATGTTGGATTTGAAGAGTGAACTATATATTGATGCACATGTGAACATCTTTTCCTCAGGATTTGTGTATTTGGAAAATCCTAAGGAAAAGGTTTTCATATGTATGCAGAGTCCTGAAAACTATGTTTTCAAAGTGGTTCTTGTCGTGGTCTATACACATACTCTACTCTACGCATATTGTCAACAGACTATGTGTATGGATACTTTCCGATATTATAGTCAATATTATTAATATTTATCGTTTTCGGGTCACGGATATTTTGGAAAGTATCCATACACATATTGTATAAATATCGATAATATTGACAATAATATCTGAAAATATCGATGTCGATAATTTTACTCACACCTAAGCAATATTTAATATAGAAAATATAGAAAATATCGATGTAATGGAAAAAAAAAGAAAAAAAAACACAAAACATACACACAAAGGGAATTCAAACCCTTGCCATTTTACTCCTCCAATGTCTTAACCACCATGTTGCTTATGTTTTTGTGATAATATGCTAAAATATGTATATTTATATTGTTTTGTTTTGAACAATTACATGCAAAACAAATTTTGGGGTTTATCATTTGATGACTACTCTTCACAATACACTTACTCTACACATAGAAATGATGAAGATAGTGAAAAATTTGAACCTCATAAGAACTCTGTGTGGTACTAAGTCACTCATGTATCTTATCATACAATGTATAAACTGTAAAATATTGTAGTAAATCATTATATATAAATGATTATGGTATGTTTAATCTTCTTTCATTAATTACTACATATTTTCTACACTCACAGTATTTGAAAACTCACTATATAATTAACTTAAATCAGTTAACCCATCATGCAATGCATTTCCTTCCAATTTTTTGTGATAAACTAATAGATAATTGACTGAATAAACATCATCCAAAGTTTCAATAAAATTTCCAAGTTTTTCTTACCAATTTCCGTGGTTTTTATTCAATTTTTATCGATATCGATAATATCCCCAATATTTCCATCAAAATTTCCGTGTTTTTGGACTATCGATATTTCCAATACGATCGATATTTTAGACCTTGACATAACACATAAATTAGCAGAGTTTGTAATAGGTATAAATTCAAATTCAAATTGTTATAAAGGCCAATAGGCATGCGCGGCAAAATGCTAGTATAATATAAAATATATCAAAATCATCCGCTACATACAATGTTTTGGAATTAGGGGTAGGAGAAGGTACCGTCTGGACTGAAACTGCATCTGGGTTTTCAGACCAGTGAGTGAGAGAGAGAGCATTTCTTAGCTGAGTTTTTTCAGGAGCAAGTTTCGACAGGTGGCAAATTGAATTCTAATCATTATGGGCCTGTTTGGTGGGCTTGAATTGGATCTACAATCCACAATCCTGTCTCGTTCGAGCCCAACCCAACCTCATAGAATTCTCCATCTCTATAGGTTGCAGCTGGCGAACTTGAGCCGTTTCCAGCGAACCCCACCCATCTCTGGCTCTGGCTCAAACCATGTCATCTCCGATCTCTTATTTCTTTTCTGGGACTTTTTCGTCGTAAGTGATTCTTCTGTGGTCGGTGTCTCCTTCGTCCCCAGTGCTTCTCTTTCATCGTCAAGATCTTGCGTTTTGTTTTGATTAACATGTGAGTTTTAATGCTTGAATTTTGCTGGATTTTTCATTTTCTCCAAAACATATTTGATCATGCACTATTGTATTTATTGTGGGTTTCTCTTTTACATTTCATGGGTCTTTCTTAGCGGTGTTTCAATGTCTGTACGTGTGTGTGTCTGTCTGTGACTGCAATTGGGTATATCGTTTGAAGTCCTAGTTTTGTCTTTTAAATGATTCAATGATTTCTGATGTTCATTTAAGCAATTAAACAGTAATTTGACGCGAAATCATTATCTTAATCATGCATTTGATTGTTTAGAAACATGAAAGTTGAATTGTTGTTGTGCAAATGAAAATTTTCATGTGGTTGTTTTGTTCTTCTCAGAGTAATACGGCAGTAACCCAATTTCTGGGAGAAAAATAAAAAATAAAAAGAGCTTTTGAAATAGGAAAACTCCTTCTCACAGTGAGTTTCATTGAGTCATATGTTTTCGCATACTTGGGTTGGGGTCATCTCTGGGAGTGAAGAATTTCTGGCATAGCTAGTGTGGGCAACTGGTTTCTAGTTAAAACATCCTGAGATTAGCTTGCTCCTCAATTGAAAATTTTGTTTGTTAGCTGATTCGTGTCTGAAATAGCATGTTTTTAACATTATCCAGCTTCTTTGTCCCATGTAACACCAATCGTAGGATAGGATTAAGGATATTAAATATGATCCAGTATCATCCAATACTAGGTAATAATCCCATGATATCCAATCCTGCATGGAAAACGAGGCCTAGGTTCATATTTTACCCATGCGTGCCCCCGGCACCGTATCTTGTCATTGTTGAATGGTCTTTTTCTTCTTCTGACTTAACAGAGTTTCTAAGCGGCTGTGATATGGCATCATTCCGAGCATTCTTGAACAGTCCAGTTGGTCCAAAAACAACTCACTTTTGGGGACCTATTGCAAACTGGGGATTCGTTGCCGCGGTATGCTTCATTTCCATGATATCTAGAATGTATTTGATTTCAAATGAGGTTTCTTGCTTTTTGACTAATTCTGATCATAATGGGCTGATTTAACAGGGATTGGCGGATATGAACAAACCTCCAGAAATGATTTCTGGCAACATGACAGCAGGTCCAAGATAACTGGTTTTCAAGGATGTCAGTTATTTTCTGTATATATTATGTGACAGGATTGTAATTTACTTTGGATTTGGTTCTGCAGCAATGTGCGTTTATTCTGCGTTGTTTATGAGATTCGCATGGATGGTACAGCCTCGCAATTATCTACTTTTGGCATGCCATGTCTCAAATGAGACTGTCCAACTCTATCAACTCTCTCGCTGGGCAAGGGGTCAGGGGTAAGTGACTAGCTGATTTTATCATCAATTATAGAAAAGTAGAAATAAATTTATAATAAAAATGGCAATATGCTTTAGTTGAGTTGTCAATTGTCATTTCCTTTAGGTCTTGACTCCGACCTTTTGTATCAAAAATGGTTGAGCCTAAACACAAATTGCCCCTTAATAAGAAGGCACTGCATGCATTGCCTCAAACACAATATCTTGAGATTTACTGTCATTTTCTTGCTTTATGATAGGTACTTTCCCCAGAAGAAGGATGAACCTGCGTCCGAGTAGCGTGATGCTTCTTTCATTCATTTGCTGGTCCATTGTGTTGTTTGTTGTGATTTTTACCCAAAACAGTGTTGATCTCGTGTATGACTCATTTAATACAGTTCTACTTTGATATTAACTCAGCAGATAGATGTTCAGTGAAACCTCTTCTTCTATCGTCTAATTCGTATTTAATGTCATGCACTGGTTTTTTTATTATATTTTTTTATAAATAAACTATTTGTTTTTACTCAATTGTGTAGAAGACGTAAAATCTGTTACGGTGCGAGGACGTTAAAGAGTAACAAGGAATGAATTTTAAAACGTTGCATACAGAGGTTGCTGAAAAACTTGCACTTTCATTCAAAAAGATTATCAGTTGGATCACCCTTACCCCAAATAATATGTGAACCACAATAATCTCTTGTACGAAAGGTAAATTGCATTTCAAGTCCAAACTCCAATCTGATTAAACAACTATTTCACCGATTTCCTTGCTCCATAGGGCCAAGAGAAACCAATTTACAATATTGCTAATGTTTTTTTTTACTTTTATCAAAAATTTGTCGGGCAGCAATTGCCTTTCACCCTTGGCATTTTGGCACCACCCCCTCCCCTGTTACACGAGCATATAAATGCTCCATACTTTGGCGCCATCAGGATCATGATATATCGGCGAGATCTTCACATTTTTAATCTTTTGCTACTTTTCTTGGATTTCACCTTCTTGCCTCCATATTCTTCAGAAGATTCCTTGTTTCCACTTTTTGCTTCAGCTTCCTTCTTGATTCCTTTCTTTTCCTTTGATTTCTTCCTTTTCACAGGTGGTGTTTCGCCCTCATCTCTCTCATCTTCATGCAGCAGCTCATCTCTCTCATCTTCCTTGTTTCCACTTTTTGCTTCAGCTTCCTTCTTGATTCCTTTCTTTTCCTTTGATTTCTTCCTTTTCACAGGTGGTGTTTCGCTCTCATCTCTCTCATCTTCATGCAGCGGCTCATCTCTCTCATCTTCCTTGTTTCCACTTTTTGCTTCAGCTTCCTTCTTGATTCCTTTCTTTTCCTTTGATTTCTTCCTTTTCACAGGTGGTGTTTTGCCCTCGTCTCTCTCATCTTCATGCAGCGGCCAATCTGCTGCAGAATGGGCAATTTCTGCTTCTACAGAATAGAAAGGAAAACTTGCAGCCAAAGCTTTGGGGAACAATTACATGATAGCGCAACTCTCAGATCAGAGCTAGGAAATAGGAAAACAAACCTTCATCAGCAAAATTGGAATCAAAAAGAACGTTTGTCAGATGCTGCTTCAGGTGAACCTGCACAATTAATCTAAAAGAATGACAAAGCTGCAGCATAAATGATTGTTACTCTTCTAACCACATTTAAAATCTGTTGCCATGAGCTTTAATATATAAAAATAGCCCATTACTTGAGTATGCATGAAACCATGATACTTAGCAAAACAATACAGGGCGACAACATACAGCAGAAAGTAGTTGCCGTGTCTTCACATTCCAAAGCCGTAGATAGCTATCCAATCCTAGGATAGGAGGAAAGGAGAACTTAGCATCAGTATGAAGATAATTTTGGTTTCCAAAGAGAACTCATAAACTTCACCGATAAAGTTTAAAAATTACAAACAAATGTTCAAGATCCTGAGAATGACTTCAAAAATGTAATAATAAGCATGCCCAATATTTAAAACTGCAACCATGCACTCACCACACGATGCTATCACTGGAAACTCAGGGTGCCTTGCTATGGATCTTATACTACCTGAACACTTCCCCAAAAAGCAACCTAACAATTTACCTGTAAAAAACACAGAATTAAAATAAATAAAGCAACTTAAATATAGTCCAAAAGAGAGATTACAGGATAACAGAAACAACATCAAGGCATCTTCTATATTATCATTTTCTGTTGGGACAACACTACCACCATTTTATTCCTATCGAAGCAAATAAGTAAGACATGTTATAATTCACAAATCAAGTACGATACCAACTAGCTCTTAGTCTAGCGCTACTCCTCTTTCCAAAGTTGGAAGAGGTCCCAAGTTCAAATCCCCCTCCCCTATTGGTCAAAATTTATTAAAAACTGAATTATGAATAATGCTCTCAAATATGAATAGGACTTGAAAAGGGACCGCCATAGTGTACATTCCCAATCCCCAGCAGTTAATATACACCAGTCATACAAGAATGAAGCTCAACATATTGCTTTTTCTTCTATAAGTAAGCTTCACAAATAGCTTGAGTTACTTTTAAATTTCTGATTGTGTCCAAATCCATACCCCCAACTAACTGTTTACCAACTGTATTCAGACTATTCCTAATTTTGATGTAACATACAAAATTCCTACAATTTATACTCATGATCATGATAGAAGTTCACATACAAATTTGCCAAGAGTTGATATACAAGTATAATTGAGCCTCATGTCAGTAGTTCTTGGGCAGAACCAAGGGGCATCCTATGGATAGTAAACTCAACTTCAAGCAAGAATGTGAAAGCCCTAAGCTCAGTCCATATAAAAGGCACTGCCCCCATTGACCCCACCACTTATGTACTAAAAAACATATGTGCAAAACACGAATTGCAAACAAAAACATCATTATGTGCCCACTAAAAATCAATGCACCTGTGCGTATGTCAAAAGAAGCGAGGTCACCAGATCCATTCCCTACGTAGATGGTGTAGCCATCTAGATCTTCAGCAACAGATTTAATAGCAGTCTCCCGAAAATCAAATGATATGACAGGTCTTCGCTGAGCAGAAATGTCATAAAGACGAACCTATTGAATAAAACAAGTCATAAGGTGTCAATAAAATCATTTTTGGGTAAGCTACTAGGAGTAGACATTCAAAAAACTGAACTTCTAAAAGAAGAATAAACATGATAGGACTCCAAGTACACAAAGTCATCCAGTTTTTAATAAAACCCATACTATATTCCTAATTTGCACAGGGGTTTATAATTTCATATGGCAAATATTATGTTATATTATAACCACTAAAATGCAGAATAACTGCCTACTGTTGGAAATAGGAAGCATTCGTCCAAAGTACATAAAGAAAGGGAGTACTTTCCATAAGTAGTTTATTCCCAACTGAAAATAATAAGAAAAAAGCATCCTACTGTAAGCAATTATTACCTCATGGCTGTTGGTGCCAGCCACAAATTTACGATGATCATCTTTACTCAAAAATGTGGCAGATGTGAACCAAGTTGGGGTAAAGATACCAAGGCTGTTTTTAGGAGGCTGCTCAGGGTCAAAAAGGTCAGAATAAATGTAGGCCATGCATTTGCAAATGAAAAATTTATGTGCCAGTTTGTTCAAGATGTAATGGGGGAAGATAGAAATGCTCACAGGTTTTGCTGTCCAAATATTGGCACAGCTGTCAAGATCCCAGACATTCATCTCAACACGCTTCCTGAATTTGAAAATAATAAGGTCAATACGCTTCCAGACATTCTCTTTGTTTAATTAAAATTACGTAGATCTTGAACCTCCTATAGTAAGTTACTCAAAATGAGAACTCACCCTCCAAATAAAAAATAGTTTTCACTTCCATCCACTTTAGAACATAAGATATTGCCGCCGCCACCTACACTCCACGTTCTTGAAGACCCAGTAGAAGCAACATCAGCGGCTGGTTTATTCACTTCAAAGGATCTTATGCTTGCATTTCCTTTTGTTGTACACGTAAGCAAAGTGCAAGACCTAACAGCAAACAATAATTGAAAAAAGATCCATAACTGTAAGCACTGAGGGAACAATACCACTGATTTTAAATATATAAAAACTTCTGGAAGAGATCAATGACTGACATAAGAATATAGCAAAATTAGAGACATCTCTCACAGGTTTAAGTGCAAGACAACTTGGCTTACAGGGGACACTTGTTTAGGTTCATAACCTCACGTACATGAAAGCAGTTGAAACAGAAAGTAAACAAATGAAATATACAAGTATCAATACATTGTGCATGTATGAGATGCATTCCACAAACCACTGCACCAGACAATGCATCCTATACAATATGAGTAAGGGTACTGCAATTACTCAACCTTGGTGAAAAAAATAATAAAAAACGAGTGAATCTAAAATTTGAACACCCAACCATACCCAAGCCCATGTCTCATAGGATGATTCAGTAGTATAATTTTACTAGAAATTAAGAAAATGGGGGTTTGTGGTTGCTCATTGATATTGGTAGAAAAACCATGTAAGCACAGAAGGCATGTTACCTAGAAGCCAATTCCGACTTCTTTTTGGCAAATAAATGCAATCCAGCAACGGGGTCATCTTCAGACTGAACGCCATTAATACTGGCATTGGAGAATGCGAAACGGAGATCCCCATTAAGAGGATTAAGAACTTCAACCTGCAATACATATAAGCACCTAACATTTATCACCCCCTCTACTGAACCAGAAACCACAAATTGCACCAACATATTCATAGTCCAAAGATGCACTCACCATGCCATTTCTTCTTGCAACAGCTAGTAACTGCAACATAGCAGAAAGGAAAAAGTTAAATAAATAAGGAACCATTCATAAAAATACATTTTTACATATTACGTATTAAGAAACAGAGCAACACATGCCCAATTGAAACTAAAGCACATTCCCAAGACACACCTGAATAAAATGCAAAATGTCAACAGACCGAAACACATTGTATTAATTCTAACACAAACAAACAACAAACACAAAGCAACACATACTGGGTCTGATTTTCGGTCATCGATAGAGGCGGCGAGCACGCATTTAGAGGAATCCGGGTCGCCCCACCTCTCAACCACCTTAGGTTCTGCTCTTCCTTGCTTACCTCGAGCTTCAATAACTATTAATGACGAAGAGATAATTGTTGTTTAGACTATTAGCAAAAGAATTAGCAGTTGATTTTGATTGAAAAAGAAATGGGCAGCTTAGGATACAGTTACCTTTTATGAGACCAAGCTCGTCGAAGGTTAGAGCTCGAAGTGGAGGGCAACCTGGACAATCGAGTGTGGTCGTACGAGGCATGTTTCACTCTCTGCTTCAACTCAGTCACAGAGTTTGAGAAAGAGAGAAACCCCTTAAACCCTCAACCTTTTTTTTTTTTTTTTTTTTTTTTTTTTTTTTTTTTTTTTTTTTTTCTTTTTTTTTTTTTTTGGTCTGAAATTGGGCTGCAAATATAAGCGATTAAATATGGCTCCGATGCAACGATGGCACAATTGAGTGGACACAGCAGTGGTTTGGTCTTCGCGTTAGAGGTCTGGAGTTCAAAACCTACTCTCTAGAACTTCGGCTAATTTTGTTTTGGTCCAATATCTTTTTCTATTTTCAACTATAAAAAAGTCCACCACCCAAATTCTTTTTAGCCCAAACCCATCACCATTAAAACCCTTAACACACAATGCGTTTGAAGGAAATAAACTTGGAATTTTGACAAAAGTTAGAATTTCTAAATTGACATAAACTAATTCTTGAGTTTTTTTTATATAAATATGTAAAATAATTTATGCCTTTTGAACTACCTATTATATAAAGTACCTCAAAGATACTACCTATTAAATAATTGATGCTGGTGCATTACTTACCAAACCCATCACCATCACCATCAAAACACTAACTTCTGCTCTTAAAACCCCTCATTATAGCATTTCCACACGTTAATTAGGTGTTCATAACTTCATGTAATAGAGGTGAATTCTCACATTCTGAGCTTTATGAGAAAGGGCCTAAAGGCCTAAGAAAAAGAACCAAAACGATCCAAAACTAACCCACAATAGGGCAATTTGATTCTTGAAAAATAATTTCCCTGGGCAATTTGATTACTCATTATGATCCCCATTTTATTTTTTGGGGCTTCATGATGATTAAAAGAAAATAAGTTGTAAAATCCTTTGCTTGATAGGATTTGCACAAAGTGTTGATTTTCAAATCGTTTTTAACCTTTGATTTATTTTAATGTTAATAAATAAATAAATAAATTTGTCTTGATAAAAGTTTTTTATTCATCTTGTACATATCCTAGGACTAAAGTTAAGCTAACAGCCTTAGCCTAAAGCCTAATAATCAGCCATTAAGCTAAATGTCTAATAACTCAAAGGAAAATTTTGAGTTGCTTTCTTCATTTTGATTTCCTTACCACTCTCATCTATGAATCAAACAAATGAAAATTATGGAATATAGAACATTCTTTTCTTTTGCATTCGACATGGATTTTTACCACCAAGCTTTGTGTTAAGCAAAAATCTGGTCTCCTGCAGCCATACTTGTAATCGATATGTTTAATATACTAAGAAACCCCAATTTTTCAAAATTTTCAAAATTTTCACAATCCAATTTCAGAACTTTTTTGTACTTTCAAAATTTCACAATTTATTCCTTATCAATAAAAAGTGCCTAATTATGGACTCATTATTGACATGATGTTTGTTTCAATCATACGGGTTATATTTAATTTTATTTACTTTTGTTATCATCATTATACTACAAAACGCCGAATTCTGCACCACGGATAGCAATTATATTGCAAATACCCTAACTTTATCAAAACTAAAATTACACTAAATTACTTACATATTGCCAAATGCAACTTAGAGTTTTCTCAAATATAACAATCGGACATTCGTACTTACCACTTCCGAAATATACGATTCACTTTCGCAACAACCTCTTCCATGCTCTTTGCCTTCCTATCCTTGAATCCTTCTAGAGAAAGAGAAATGAATAGAAGGTCACGACGAGGTCGAGGTCTAGTGGTCGAATGAATCCTCGGTCGAAATGGAAGAAACAAGCGCTCTTTTGCCTCGAATGGTCAACATCCCAATGAATAGGGACGAAAAGGGAGCAAATATGAGAAGTTGTAATGCCGAAATCCAGCTGAAGCTGGTTTCAGCTGGATTTGAAGGATCTTTCTATCTTTTCCTCCACCCGGAGAAAGAGAGATAAATCAAAGGTCAGGACGAGGTCAAGGTAAAGTGGTTTAGTGGTCGGATGAATCCTCCTTTGAATGTCAAAATGGAAGAAACAAGCAGTCTTTCATATAGTGTGAACAATTGGTGGGTGAGTCCATACGTCAAAATATAGGCACATTTTTTTATTCAAATATATACACTTTTTTTTCCGACTAAAATGAAACCCACCCCCCTCCCCAATTTTTTTTTTAAATGTGGAGACAGTCCCAAAATTCCCAACGGCTATATCATATCTTCCAACATTTCAAGATTCCCTTTTCAAATCTTTTCTTCATCCTAAGATTTCCACCCAGAGCTTTCTTTCAAATCCTTTTGTTCATCATACTCCCCACCCTCATGGCATCTCAATGTGAATTTGATTACACAGCTGAATGGAATAATGAACTTGCACATGCTGCAATAGAAAACTCAGAAATGCACAAAGGAATGTGCACCCGTTTTCAGATTGTGAGTGAGCGAATGGGTACTTATAAGCAGACACTTCTTATTCCAGATGTGGTAGGTTTTTCTTCTTTTCCTCAATTTCTAGTTTTGGTTATTTTTTCTTCCTCGGGTTTGATTTTCTTTCTTTCATTTGCAGGGGTAGGCACTAGTTTTGTGATTAGGAACCATATGAAGGAAAAAAATGATGATCGGATGAGCCCTCATCAACACTCCCTCATCCCTTATCAACACTACCTCATCCCAACTCCCCCCCCCCCCCCCTCCCCAATTTTTTTAAATGTGGATACAGTCCCAAAATTCCCAACGGCTATATCATATCTTATAACATTTCAAGATTCCCTTTTCAAATCTTTTCTTCATCCTAACATTTCCAACATAGAGCTTTCTTTCAAATCCTTTTGTTCATCACACTCCCTACCCTCATGGCATCTCAGCGTGAATTTGATTACACAGCTGAATGGAATAATGAACTTGCACATGCTGCAATAGAAAACTCATAAATGAACAAAGGAATGCACAAAACCCGTTTTCAGACTGTGAGTGAACGAATTGGTACTTATAAGCAGACACTTCTTATTCCAGATGTGGTAGGTTTTTCTTCTTTTCCTTAATTTCTAATTTGGTTATTTTTTCTTCCTTGGGTTTGTTTTTGTTTCTTTCCTTTGCAGGGGTAGGCACTAGTTATGTGATTAAGAACCATATGAAGGAAAAAATGAAGTCGGATGAGCCCTCACCAACACTCCCTCATCCCTTATCAACACTACCTCATCCCAAGTAACCCTCACCCCCCCAGACCCAAAATTCCCAACGCCTATATCATATCTTCCAACATTTTAAGATTCCCCTTTCAAATCTTTTCCTCATCCTAAGATTTCCAACCCAGAGCTTTTGTTCAAATCATTTTGTTCATCATACTCCCCACCCTCATGGCATCTCAGCGTGAATTTGATTACACAGCTGAATGAAATAATGAACTTGCACATGATGCAATGGAAAACTAAAAAACGCACAAAGGAATGTGCAAAACCCGTTTTCAGACTGTGAGTGAATGAATGGGTACTTATAAGCAGAACATTCTTATTCCAGATGTGGTAGGTTTTTCTTCTTTTCACTTGCACATGCTGCAATGGAAAACTCATAAATGCACAAAGGAATATGCAAAACCCGTTTTTAGACTGTGAGTGAGCGAATGGGTTCTTATAAGCAGACATTTCTTATTCGAGATGTGGTAGGTTTTTCTTCTTTTCCTTAATTTCTAATTTTTGTTATTTTTTCTTCCTTGGGTTTGATTTTATTTCTTTCATTTGCAGGGATAGGCACTAATTATGTGATTAAGAACCATAGGAAGGAAAAAATGAAGTCTCATCAATACTCCATCATCCCTTATCAAAACTACCTCATCCCACCCCCCCCCCCCCCCCCCCCAAAAAAAAATTTTTTAAATGTGGAGACAGTCCCAAAATTCCCAACGGCTATATCATATCTTCCAACATTTCAAGATTCCCCTTTCAAATCTGTTCTTCATCCTAAGATTTCCAACCCAGAGCTTTCATTCAAATCCTTTTTTCATCATACTCCGCACCCTCATGGCATCTCAGCGTGAATTTGATTACACAGCTGAATGGAAAACTCAGAAATGCACAAAAGAATGTGCAAAACCCGTTTTTTAGACTGTGAGTGAGCGAATGGGTACTTATAAGCAGAACCTTCTTATTCCAGATGTGGTAGGTTTTTCTTCTTTTCACTTGCACATGTTGCGATGGAAAACTTAGAAATGCACAAAGGAATGTGCTAAACCCGTTTTCAAACTGTGAGTGAGCGAATGGGTACTTATAAGCAGAACCTTCTTATTCCATATGTGGTAGGTTTTTCTTCTTTTTCTTAATTTTTAATTTTGGTTATTTTTTCTTCCTTGGGTTTGATTTTGTTTCTTTTATTTGCAGGGGTAGGCTTTAGTTTTGTGATTAAGAACCATTGGAAGGAAAAAATGAAGTCGGATGAGCCATCATCAACACTGCCTCATGTTTTATCCCAAGATCTTTCAGTACTAGGTGAGTGGAAATCCCAAGTCCACCCCACCGCACCCCTAAAAAAAAATTTAAATGTGGTGCCGGTCCCAAAATTCCCAACAGCTATATCATATCTTCCAACATTTCAAGATTCCCCTTTCAAATATTTTCTTCATCCTCTGATTTCCAACCCAGAGCTTTCTTTCAAATCATTTTCTTCATCATACTCCCCACCCTCATGGCATCTCAGCGTGAATTTGATTACATAGCTGAATGGAATAATGAACTTGCACATGCTGCAATGGAAAACTCAGAAATGCACAAAGGAATGTGCAAAACTCGTTTTCAGACTATGAGTGAGCAAATGCGTACTTATAAGCAGACACTTCTTATTCCATATGTGGTAGGTTTTTCTTCTTTTACTTAATTTCTAATTTTGGTTATTTTTTCTTCCTTGGGTTTGATTTTGTTTCTTTCATTTGCAGGGGTAGGCTCTTGTTCTGTGATTAAGAACCATAGGAAGGAAAAAAAATGAAGTCGGATTAGCCCTCATCAACACTGCCTCATCCCTTATCAATACTACCTCATGTTTTATCCCAAGATCTTTCAGTACTAAGTGAGTGAAAATCCCAAGTTGAGGTTTTTTTCATCAAGTTAATAGTATTTTCTACCCTTTTACTCGATCTGGTGCAAATTTTGGTTATATATGTTCATATTGATGTCTAAAAGCTCAATTCTTTTTCTTTTTTAATACTTTGCTATCGCCATGCCTTTTTTAAGGATCTTACCCGTTTTATTTTCTTCTTGGTTTTGCATCCTCCAACCACCGCCTTAATCGAAGAAATAGGTAGATGACTTTAAAGCAACACAAGAGGTCTATTAGGATTGGCTCTAGTTCTGTGATTAAGAACCATATGAAGGAAAAAATGAAGTCAAATGAGCAGTTATCAACACTGCCTCATGTTTTATCCTAAGATCTTTCAGTACTAGGTGAGTAGAAATCCCAAGTTAAGTCTTTTTCAACAAGTCAATGGTATTTTCCGCCTTTTTACTCGATTTGGTGCAAGTTTTAGTTATGTATGCTCATATTGATGTCTAAAAGCTCAGTGTTTTCTTTTTAATGCTTTTCTATCGCCATTCCTTTTTTTAGAATCTTACCATCGTTTTATTTTCTTCTTGGTTTTGCATCCTCCAACCACCCCCTCAACCGAAGAAAGAGGCAGAGGACTTCAAATTAGCATAAGAGGTCTAAAAGGGTTGGCTCTAATTCTGTGATTAAGAACCATAGGAAGGAAAAAAAATGAAGTCGAATGAACCCTCATAAACATTGCCTGAGCCCTTATCAATATTGCCTCATGTTTTATCCCAAGATCTTTCAATACTCAATGAGTGGAAATCCCAAGTTGAGTCTTTTTCATCAAGTTAATATTATTTTCCGCCCTTTTACTAGATCTTCTGCAAGTTTTGGTTATGTATGTTTATATTGATATTTAAAAGTTCAGTTCTTTTTCTTTTTTAATACTTTGCTATCACCATGCCTTTTTTTTAGAATTCTACCATCGTTTTATTTTCTTCTTGGTTTTGCATCCTCCAACCATCCCTTAAACCGAAGGAAGAGGCAGAGGACGTAATCAACACAAGAGGTCTATTAGGGTTGGCTCTAGTTCTGTGATTAAGAACCATATGAAGGAAAAAAATGAAGTCAGATGAGCCCTTATCAACACTGTCTCATGTTTTATCCCAAGATCTCTCAGTACTAGGTGAGTGGAAATCCCAAGTTGAGTCTTTTTCATCAAGTTAATAGTATTTTCCTCCCTTTTGCTCGATCTAGTGCAAGTTTTGGTTATGTATGTTCATATTGATGTCTAAAAGCTTAGTTCTTTTTCTTTTTTAATACTTTGCTATTGCCATGCCTTTTTTAAGAATCTTACTCATTTTATTTTCTTCTTGGTTTTGCATCCTCCAACCACCGCCTTAACCAAAGAAAGAGTCAGATGACTTTAAATCAACACAAGAGGTCTATTAGGATTGGCTCTAGTTCTGTGATTAAGAACCATAGGAAGGAAAAAATGAAGTCGGATGAGCCATTATAAACACCGCCTCATGTTTTATCCCAAGATCTTTCAGTACTAGGTGAATGGAAATCCCTAGTTGATTCTTTTTCATCAAGTTAATAGTATTTTCCGCCTTTTTACTCGATCTGGTCCAACTTTTGGTTATGTATGTTCATATTGATGTTTAAAAGCTTAATTTTTTTTTCCTTCTTAATACTTTTCTATCGCCATTCCTTTTTTTAGAATCTTACCATCGTTTTATTTTCTTCTTGGTTTTGCAGCCTCCAACCACCCCCTCAACCGAAGGAAGAGGCAGAGGACTTCAAATCAACACAAGAGGTCTAGAAGGGTTGGCTCTAGCTCTATGATTAAGAACCATATGAAGGAAAAAATGAAGTCAGATGAGCCCTCATGAACACTGCCTGAGCCCTTATCAACACTACCTCATGTTTTATCCCTAGATCTTTCAGTACTAGGTGAGTGGAAATCCCAAGTTGTCTTTTTCATCAAGTTACGCCCTTTTACTCGATTTGGTGTATGTTTTCGTTATGTATGCTCATATTAATGTATAAAACTTAGTTTTTTTTTTTTTTTTTTTTTTTTTTATTTTTTTAATACTTTTTTTTTTTCTTTCTTTTCCCTTTTTTTTAGAATCTTACCATCGTTTTATTTTCTTTTTTTGTTTTGCAGCCTCCAACCACCCCCTCTGTCGAAGGAAGAGGCAGAGGGTGTATCATATCTTAGGTGTCCCAATATTCTTGTGATTTGATTATGCGTAATTTCTCTATGGTACTCTGGTTTTGTTTATGTGTGAAAATGGTGGTTTGACTAAACATCTTTTGGAGTGCATTTTGGTTGTTGGAGGAGTGAGACATCTAACAAGTTAATAGGGTTGTACATTTTCGTTGAAGGAGGAATGAGACATCTTTTTTTGCCTGTTGTGTGCATCAGTTGTTACTTCAACCTTCTAGTTGTACGATTTGTACTCAACCCTGAGTGTAGGCTGAACCTGAAACAGATGAAGTTTATGCACAAGTTACCCTCCTAGAAGCATATGTGAGTTGCCTCTCCCTGCATTAATTTTAACCTGTAAAATTATTAATCAATTTTGATGAAGTATGTTGTTCGTAATTGTAGTTTGTATCTTCAGTCATGATTGATTACAAACCTTGCCTCTCCATTTTCTCCTTTCTCTATTTTGTCATGTTTGTCTTATTTTGATGCTGCTTCATGGGTCAGCAAAGCGAGGTAACCATCACAGATCCTCCACTGCCAGAAACTCCACGGTGTACTGTCCCATCATTTTTCAAGATACTTACTGCTTCTTACACAAGCACACATGTTGGGTTCTCTGTCCTTTGGAGGCATTTTATGCATCCAACGATTTAATCAAGAAGTTTTCTTAATGTTTAGTTAATCTTTTTTTTTTATACCTCAAAGTCATAACCTTTGTAATTGGAGCAAGTCCAAGACACCTTTGTTTCAACGCCAGAAATTTTCGAGGTTTTATGTGAACTTAATTGACTGTCATTGATTTGGACTGTTGTCCTTATTATTAGCTTTTTGGTTCAGCCTTGTTTATCTAGTTGCTGTATTTATTTCTTCAACATCTTTTTGTCTTTTTGTATAATAAATAGCTTTTACACCTCGAGAATGTGATGCAGGATTTGTAGTCTTTGCAGTGTTTTATTTGCTCTGTGAATATACTCTCTTCAGCGAGTACATATGTGTTTCTCTGGGATGAGGACCTTGGCATTGAGGATTTCGACTCAAAATGGTAAGCATAACCAGTAAACTTTGACAGAATGATCTTGGCATCCCTGTGGCGATTGATGTTTTAGATAAAATTAATTTTGACATTCCTGCATATGTATGTATGCTTATTTCCTGCTCACGCTATGCCATTTTTCTTACTAGTAAAATGGTTTTAAAATATTAGATCCAATCTTTGCATTTTGAACAATATAATGAACAATTTCTTTGTTGCTCCTTTTACCCCATGGTGCTCAAATTTTGACTGTTTAGAATGGCAATGATGACGAATTGTCTGGTTGGAGCCCTACCCATCTATAACATCAATAATGAGAAATAAATGGATTGATGCAATTCAAGATACGTACAGTCTCTTCTAAAAATATATGCATGCTGATGCGGAAGTGCAATCGAAATGATTGTTTATGTTGTTCTAGCAGGCAGGATAAGGAAACAAACCTGTGGCGTTGATGTTCCATGTTCTTTCACACTTTCCATCTATTCATTTCCATGTTGTCTCTTCAACCTCCAAGCCCGACAGGCAATTTGATTCCCTTGGGCCTGATTACTCATCATGATCCCTGTTTTATTTTTTTGGGAGTCATGATGGTTAAAAGAAAATAAGTTGTAAAATCCTTTGCTTGATAGGATTTGCGCAAAGTGTTGATTTTCAAATCGGTTTAAACCTTTGAATTATTTTATTGTTAATAAATAAATAAATTTTTTGTCTTGATAAGAGTATTTTATTCATCTTGCACTGATCCTAGGGTCTGTATTTTATTCATTTCATTTTATTCAAACCAATACAGATCCAACAGGTAGTTTGAAATCCAAATAGGAGTTTAAACCCTTATTATATCCTAGTACTTATTGGACTAGGATTAATTTGCCTCCCTAAAACCCCTATAAATACATAAATCACAACCCACATTTTTTTTCAAGAACTTGAGATTAGAAAAAGAAAAAATCTGATCGAGATAGAAATTCACAAACTCCAACCATGGCGAAAGATGAGCAGCTTCAAGTCCTAAGCATGCTGGACGCAGCCAAAACCCAATTCTACCACTTCACTGCTGTTGTGATCTCCGGCATGGGCTTCTTCACCGATTCGTATGACCTTTTTTGCATCTCCCTCGTCACCAAACTCCTCGGTCGCATTTATTACCACGTCGAGGGCTCAGCAAAGCCAGGCAGCCTACCACCAAACGTGGCAGCCGCGGTCAACGGAGTTGCCCTATGTGGAACCCTAGCCGGCCAGCTCTTCTTCGGTTGGCTCGGGGACAAGCTCGGGCGTAAAGGCGCTTATGGAATAACCCTAATGCTCATGGTGGGTTGTTCTATTGGTTCTGGTCTCTCTTTTGGTAGCTCACCAACTTCTGTCATTGCCACTCTTTGCTTTTTCCGGTTTTGGCTAGGGTTTGGCATTGGTGGCGACTACCCACTTTCGGCGACAATTATGTCCGAGTATGCCAATAAAAAGACTCGCGGGGCGTTTATAGCTGCGGTTTTTGCCATGCAAGGGTTTGGGATTTTGGCTGGCGGGATGGTGGCTATTGTTGTTTCTTCTATATTCCGTGCCGTATACCATGCTGATCCCTACTCAGTCGACCCAATTGGGTCGACTGTACCTCAGGCAGACTATGTATGGAGGATTATTCTCATGTTTGGAGCAGTCCCCGCGGCGTTAACTTTCTATTCGAGAATGAAAATGCCAGAGACCCCTCGTTACACTGCCTTGGTAGCCAAGGATCAAAACAAGGCTCGCCAAGACATGGCCAAAGTGTTGAATGTGGAGATGAAAGAGCAACAAGAAGTAGCGCATGCGCAGCCACAAAACAACAGGTCCTCAAAGTTTGCTCTATTTTCCAAAAAATTTCTTAAGAGACATGGGTTACATTTATTGGGCACGGCCTCCACATGGTTCTTGCTAGACATTGCTTACTATAGCCAAAACCTTTTCCAAAAGGACATCTTCAGCGCTGTGGGATGGTTGCCATCAGCAAGCTCTATGAGTGCCCTAGATGAGCTTTACAAAATTGCTAGGGCACAAACCCTAATAGCCCTATGTGGCACAGTTCCTGGGTACTGGGTCACGGTCTTCCTCATCGATCACATTGGCCGATTTGCAATTCAGCTAATTGGGTTTTTCTTCATGACTGCTTTCATGTTTCTCTTGGCAATTCCATACCACCACTGGACTAGACCTGAAAACAACATCGGATTTATTGTCATATATGGTCTAACGTTTTTCTTTGCCAATTTTGGACCCAATAGCACAACATTTGTTGTACCGGCAGAGATTTTCCCAGCAAGGTTCCGGTCCACGTGTCATGGGATTTCAGCAGCTGCGGGGAAGGCCGGGGCGATTATTGGGGCTTTCGGGTTCTTGTATGCATCACAAAATCAAGACAAGTCTAAGACTGATGCAGGGTACCCGCCTGGGATTGGAATGAGGAATTCTCTCATTGTGCTTGGTGTGATCAGCATTTTGGGGTTCTTCTTTACGTTTTTAGTGCCGGAGTCGAAGGGAAAATCGTTGGAGGAGATGTCAAGAGAGAATGAAGATGAAGGTGATGATCAAGTGCAGCCCAACAGAGTTGAGGTTACTGTTTAATTAGGAATGTCTGTACAAGAATTTGTGTTCGACCTTTGTTTTTTTACCCTTAGTTTCTCTCTCAGTAATATTTTTTTTTGCATCTCCCTTGTGAATGTTATGTCATTTTGATTTTCGAACTTCAAGAACCAAAGCGATCCATTACTTACAATAGTTACAATTGAGTAGTAAACAGTTTCAAAACTCTAGATGATGCAGTGCCCAATCCTATAACGGAGACCTATATTTCTCGTGGAACAAGTAAATTTTTATTATGCTAGCTCGGACCATTCTAGTTAGAAAATGATACTAGAAAGTTAAGCTAGTTAGAAAATGCTAAATTTGTCATATTGGATGCAGAAAATCTGATTACATAGGTGAATCTCTTTCTGATTTAGAGCATTCCTTCCACTTTCACTTATAATTTTTAATTTCTTTAATTTATCTTTTTCAATCAAGTTGTCACTTTTTCCTTTATAAATGGATGATGAAAGATTCTAACTTGAGATATCTCCACGTTGAAAAATAAATATCACTAAATTAATTAGTTCATATATAACACTGGTTCTAGAGTCATAGACGACGATCTTCAAAGAGGCGATCTTAGATTAGATGAGATGGGATGAGTTGAAAAGCTTAGGTTTTTCATATATAATAATTTGGTGTTAGGTGTACACTAAATATTATTATTTTTATATAAATAAAATAGTATATTGGTACAATAAACGTAAAATGTAATGATCATATATCGACTCTTAAACCATTTTTTTCTTAACACCAAACTAAATCAAAGTGTAGGCACAACTTCGCCGAACCGTAGAATCGAGGAGGATGAGATTGATGCTGGTGCTATACCTTTATGTAAAATAATTTATGCTTTTTGAACTACCTGTTAAATAAAGTAGTTCAAAGATACCACCTATTAAATAATTGATGCTGGTGCATTACTTACCAAACCAAACGGTTTATGATTTATTTGGACTCAAGACTCGCTCATTATTAGGTCAACCGAACTCAAATCAACCCTCTAATGATCCAATTGGGCAGTTCGGTCGGGTTGACCCGAAATTGTGGCACCTCTAATTTTGACAGTGATGAGAATATTATACATGAAGTTTTCTGCTATGAAATTTACTATGCGAGTGTAATTATGTACACAATCTCCAAATGAAACTTCAGAAGTTAATTACAAAAAAGAAAAGACATCCACAATTTACAGAAAATCAATCTGCTTCTAGTAAGGGCATTATGCCAATAAATTACTCTATACCTTCCTTAAAGGGGCCAGAATCATGTAACAGTTTCATAACAAGCTCAACCTGCATGGAAGAAGTACTTAATAATGTTAAAGAAAATTGGCAAGACTGAACCTGATCTGCATTCATTCGGTCAAAGTCTCAGAGATAGATTTTACCCCCTTGAACTATTACTCAGTGTCAATTTGTCCCTTGAACTGTTTTTTGGTAAATTAAGTTAAGGACTTGACTCTATAGAAATGGCCAATTAGGCCTTTATCGTCAGTTTCATCGAATTTCATCCATTTTGCCATCAATGATAAGGGAAAATTCATAAGTTTAAGTAGAACAAAAGCAAACCCCATTAAAATACTAAAATATGTTGAAATTTAAAAGATGGAAAAACTTCTATCTCTCAATATAGACTGAGGGGAATAATGATTCAGCTTGTCGAGGTTATGGCCAATGAGCTCAGTACGATTCAGTTGCTGCTAATTTAGATCTGGTTGCGTGGAGGGGGGAAATCTGGGTGAGGTTGTTGCCGCGGGGGAAGGGTGGCCGTTGGAATAAACAGTGATTGGTGCGTGGGTGGGTGGCCTGAAAAATACAGGTTTTTGGGTGGGGGGCTGTTTACAGAGAGCCAGAGAGAGTGATATAGGTTGATTGATCAGATTTCCCTCAAAAGTGAGTCACAAGCCCACCACGTTACACTATTTGACAGCAATTTAGACTAAATTGATTTGTAGGTGCTACATTGACTAACTTTATATAGTTCAATTGCTTAACTTACCAAATAGTCTGGGGGGTTCAATTGACACTCGTGATAGTTCAGGGGGTACATTACAGCACAAATAAATTGGGGTAACGAATAATTCCACTGAAAATGGATTATAATTCAGGATGCCACCTAAATACTGAAATAAAAATGCAATCACCTGAGTTGATTCACGCACTAGAAAGCCCTCTATGGCCTTCCTGAAACCTTCATCCATCAGGTAATGGCAGCTATAAGTTCTCACAGGCATATAACCTCTCTGAATCTTATGTTCACCCTGAGCTCCAGCCTCTACTGTGTTTAGATTAAGTTCGATTGCAGCTTCTATTGCCTGTGATGTCATACAAACCATAATAAATAAATAAAAGATTATTGTGCATATCTTCTTAGCGATGCTATATACATGCTTGTCTACTTTTTGGTAACGTCAATAAAAACTCTCATGACAACCTCTAAATTTCAGATGTGGTTTCAAGAATGAAAAAGACTCTGAGGCATTGAAAATTGAAAATGGTCCATGATTACCTTAAAAATATTGTGCAGAATATATGACAGCATTTTACATTGCTTCTAGTAATGAAGATGATTAGGGCAGTAAGGAGCATTTTTATGCTAAATATATTAGAGTAGAAAGCCTAAATGATCTTGTGCTACTTTATTAATAAAATGAAAATAAAATAACAAGACCTGGTAATAGCATGCTTCAAAATGCAAACTTGGATAGTAAGCTCGTGGATGACATCCCCATAGGCGTCCAAATAACGCATCTCCTCCTATAAGATTCAGAGCTCCAGCAACAAGCTCATCCCCTTCTTCAGCAACAACAAGTAATACCTGATCTCCCATCTTTGAACCCATGTTGTGAAAGAAATCCCTAGTCAGGTATGGGGTACCCCACCTGTGGATCCGACGAGAAATTTCAAACTTCATGAGGGAAAAAAAAGGATCCAAGCAACTCGTCTGTTTAACAAGTTTCCGAAAAAATGTAAAACTGATTTGTGGCAATTATCGCTAAATGTGAAACATCATTAAATGACTAAGAAAGGGATCTACAAGGAACCAACTTATTATCAGTGGTGTTCCGGTAGAAGTTATAGAAGGAATCCCAGTGTCTAGCCTGCCAACATGACATCATTAAGGAAGTGGTCAGACCTATTGTTCCCACTGTTCTCTATTACATAAAAATTTCAAATAGACCATCAATGAAAGTATTCATTATATGCAAAACAGTGCAACATGCCACTGAAATACGATCATATAAGTGGAAAAACATCTCCAATAGTCACAGTTACCAAATACTAGTACAAATACCTTTATTTCATCACCCCGCAACCGTTTCATAGTCAAATTCTGCTGTACAATCTGCATATCAAGAGTTCAATTAGACAACCTGTACCACATGTCACTAACACAAATAACCGAACTGATTTCATTTACTCGGAAAAAAAAAAATCCACAGATTACATGAGTACTCCTGTTAAAACTTTACAGTTTTGTTTCCACTAAATTACTAACACAAATTTAGTCTCGCAAACAGGAACATGGTTGCCCTCAACTTTGCACATATCAATGAATTCATGCCTAGCATACAAACTCATTCACATCTGATGGAACTTAAAGTGAGCCCATCAGAAGAAAAAATAATCACAAAAGAAGCAAGAGGAAAATAATGAAGCGTTCATCGATCACATAAAGAGAAACAGGTGTTCTACAAGTATTTTTTGTCAAATGGATTTATACTGCATCGACTAACTCAAAGATTAAACTAATCAAGAAAGGCATTACGTTATAAACAGAACACCAAGGAATATGTTCTTCAAGGTATTCCTATATATGTGGACTAATTTTCCACAGTTTGAGTTTCACCACACATACAAGAGGGTCCAAATTTATCGGATCAAAAGAAGTTTTTACGTGGACTCAATTTGTGGTCTTGCTCCCATGAGTTGATCAATGTTTCTTCCAATCATTCATTCATTACTTTTACTTTTTATTCATTCATTTGCTTCCTTTACATGGCGTCTTTTCTCTCATCTCAAATGCTGGTAGCCTTAGAACTCTGAGCAGTGATCCACAAGTTTTTAGCACTATCTTAATTGATTTTGTGATTTTCAGATATTTCTATTATGTTCGTGCACATTTTTTTGGTTCCAAGCAGGACCCCATTGCGTGCTATTAAAATAATTCTTGCCATGAAACATTCTAACAGAAAAGCCATTTTCTAGTAGAAGAACTCACCTAAGACCTTTTAGTTTCTCAGTTTTCTAAATACATTAAATATCAAATGGAACATATGAAATTATGTTTTAAAAGCCAACCTTTTTGCGCTCTTGACGAATATTTTTCCTTTTACTTTGCTTCATGTCCATCAAGAACTCATCAAAACTGTATCACAAATAAAGTAAGACATTTTCTAGATTCAACTTTCAATCAAAAAACACGTTAAGCCATAATAATGGTTTATCTGTATATGTCTAATATTGTTAAGAAACAATTATGGACCTCTTTACTGGTTAAACATTTTTCTGGAAAGTAGCTTTTCTTATCCTTCAAGGATCAATAATGAGTTGCTCCCATATGATCAATTTATATGCACAAACATATACATATGCATGTATATAGGAGAAGTATTTAGATGCATAATATTACACATACAATCTTCGTCATTTGACGAAAATCCAAAGGTTTATAAAGGCTTAGAACAACTAAATGATATGTTCCTATTAACTGTTCAGTTTTCAACCAACAGCTTAGAAGCGGTATGTGTCTTGATAAAAGCTCAATGTTAGGTTCCAACACTCCTATATGTCTCATCAAAAGTTATTGGCTCGGCACAGGGAGGTTAAATTGTCAATCATTGTTCATATAAGCCACCTACTTTTGCACTGAGTAGTTCAAATTGTAGCATCCATGATGAGGACAAGCACAACTCATTATAGTTGAGATGCTATGACTAAAGGGCTACAGGCCAACATCACTACAAGCCTTACACCAGAACAACCAAACTAACA